GCAAAAAAAAAAAAAAATCTACATGAAGCTTCAAATACTGGCTACTTCCCAGGCAGAGTGGAAAGATTAAATATGAGGTTGAACATCTGGAAGCTGATGCTCCTGAAGCTATCTATGCCCGTGTACCCCTTGGAAAGTCTTTGCATGCAGATGCCATAGCCTGAAGCGTGGTGGTGGAAATGGCACCCTTTGACAGAGTCTGGATATGAAAAGAGGTGAAACAGAGAATAGCAGCCGGGGGGAAAGCTAGGTGGAAACTTTGTTTTTAGTCTGGGACAATGAATTAGTCATCTATTGTGACATAACAAATTATTTCAAAACTTGGCAGCTCAAAACAACAAATATTTATTCTCTTGAATGGTTTCTGAGGGTCAAGCAGCTGAGAACAGCTCATCTGGGTGACTGTGGCTCAGGGTCTCTCATGAGGCCTGGTGACCACTTTCCCTTGGTCCTCCTAATATGCCTTATACCCACAGCAATGCTGCCAACTTTCTCAGCTCAGCTGCCAGTCAGCCTTGGTTCACCTGTGTTTCCATATGTTTTTCTTGCTTGTAAAGCTACTGGGGACCAGCTCTGGCCAGGACATTTCTGTTTGCCATGATGTGGGTTGCAGTCACAACTTCTATGACATTTGAACTCCCTGTCAAGTTTATCCTGTGTTAGTCTTTCAGTCTTACAGTATCCTTTAGTGCTCTCTTTATAATTACTCTCCTATCGTAATTCTCCTATCATCTAATATCTTTTTTTTTTTTTTTTTTGAGATGGAGTCCTGCTCCGTCACCCAGGCTGAAGTACAGGGGTGCAATCTGAGCTCACTGCAACCTCCATCTTCTGGGCTCAAGAGACTCCTGCCTCAGCCTCCCAAGTAGCTGGGATTACAGACATGTACCACCACACCTAGCTAAATTTTTTTTGTATTTTTGGTAAAGACAGGGTTTTACCATATTGCCCAATCTGGTCTCAAACTCCTGAGCTCAAGCAATCTGCCCACCTCAGCCTCCCAAAGTTCTGGGATTACAGGTGTGAGCTACTGCACCCAGCCTAATACTCCTTTAGAGTGAACTGTCTTCCTCTGATACAGCTGTAAATGCCTATATTTAATTCTCAGAGACTTGTAGATGTTAATCTTCTTCTAACCTCTGGTTTATTATCCTACTACGAATTGGAATGTTCATTATCAGGTTCTGGGGAGGATTTTCTTTGGGGGTGTGTTATATTTCACAGGAAATTCCATTTTGTTATATGGAAAAAAGACATCTTAGCTTGAGCTCCTCCAACAAAGTGTTGTAATTTAGAAATTCTTAGGAAGCTTATCATAATAAATCAATTTAAAAATTAACAATATAGTCAACATTATGTTGTCTACAAGATACACACTTTAGATTCAAAAATACAAATAGGTTGAAACTAAAAGGATAGAAAAAGATAAATCATATAAACAGCAACCACAAGAAAGCTAGAGGGGCTGTATCGACATCAGGAAAAAAATGGATTTAAAACAAAAAAGTGGGCCGGGCGCGGTGGCTCAAGCCTGTAATCCCAGCACTTTGGGAGGCCGAGGCGGGTGGATCACGAGGTCGAAAGATCGAGACCATCCTGGTCAACATGGTGAAACCCTGTCTCTACTAAAAATACAAAAAAACTAGCTGGGCGTGGTGGTGCATGCCTGTAATCCCAGCTACTTAGGAGGCTGAGGCAGGAGAATTGCCTGAGCCCAGGAGGCGGAGGTTGCGGTGAGCCGAGATCGCACCATTGCACTCCAGCCTGGGTAACAAGAGCGAAACTCCGTCTCAAAAAAAAAAAAAAAAAAAAAAAAAAAAAAGTGTTAGTAGAGATAAAGAGGGATATGCTATCATTAGAAAAGATCCAATCCATCAGGAAGACATGACAATTACATATGCATATGCACCTAACTAAAGAACATGAAAATATGCCAAAGAAAAACGGACACGAAGGTAGAAATGGAAACTCTAACAATAAAGGTTGAAGACTTCAATACTCTGCTTTAAATAATGGATAGAACAACTAAGCAGAAGATCAACAAGGAAACAGAAGACTTAAATTATACTGTAAACCAACTGGACCTAACAGGCATCTATGTAACACTCTACCCAACAACAGCAGAAGCAGAATATACACATTCTTCCCAAATGCCTATGGAACATTTTCTAAGACAGACTATATGCTAGCCCCTAAAACAAACCTCAATAAATTTAAAAGGATAGAAATAATACAAAATGTTTTCTGATTGCAGTGGAATGCAAATAGAAATTAATAACAAAAAGAAAACTTACAAATTTATGAAAATTAAACAACACATTCCTCAATAACCAATGGGTCAAAGAAGAAATCAAAATGGAAGTTTAAAAATACTTTGAGATGAACACACATGAAGATAAAACATATGAAAACTTGAGGGATGCCCAGAACTTTGGGAGGCTGAGGCGGGTGGATCACGAGGTCAAGAGATCGAGACCATCCTGGTCAACATGATGAAACCCCGTCTCTACTAAAAATACAAAAACTTAGCTGGGCATGGTGGCACGTGCCTGTAATCCCAGCTACTCAGGAGGCTGAGGCAGGAGAACTGCTTGAACCCAGGAGGCGGAGGTTGCAGTGAGCTGAGATCGCACCATTGCACTCCAGCCTGGGTAACAAGAGTGAAACTCCGTCTCAAAAAAAAAGGAAAGAAAACTTGTGGGATGCAGCGAAAGCAGTGATTAGTGGAAAACTTATAGCCATAAATACCTATATTTAACAGGAAGAAAGATGTCGAATCAATATATTAAGAAACTGAAAAAAGAAGAGCAAACTAAACAAAACAAGCAAAGGAAGGAAATAATAAATAGTAGAGTGGAAATTAATGAAATAGAGAATAGAAAAACGATAGAGAAAATTAAAGAAACCAAAAAACAGATTATTTGAAGTAATCAACAAAATTGACAAACCTCTAGTTAGAGCGTTAACCAAGAAAAAAATGAGAGAAGAATCAAATTACTAGAATCAGAAATGAAAAAGGGGCATTACTACCAAGCATATAGAAATAAAAAAGATTAAAAAGAAATACCATGAACAATCGTATTTGAAAAAATAAATTAGATAATTTAAATGAAATAGACATTTCATAGCAAGTCACAAAGTACCAAAACAGACCCAAGGAGAAATACACAATCTAAATAGGCTTAAGTAAAGAGATTAATAATTTAAAAACCAGCTCTTGCCGGGTGCAGTGGCTCATGCCTGTAATCCCAGCACTTTGGGAGGCCAAGGTGGGTGGATCTCCTGAGATCGGCAGTTTGAGACCAGCCTGACCAACATGAAGAAACCCTGTCTCTACTAAAAATACAAAATTAGCTGGGCATGGTGGCACATGCCTGTAATCCCAACTACTCAGGAGTCTGATGCAAGAGAATCACTTAAACCCAGGAGGCAGAGGTTGTGGTGAGCCGAGATTGTGCCACTGTACTCCAGCCTGGGCAAAAAGAGCAAAACTCCATCTCAAAACAAAAACAAAAACAAAAAAAACTCACAGCTCTTTCCAAAGTAAATTGAGGGCCCCATTGCTACTTATGCTATATTTCAACATACATTTCCTTTCTTATTTTGAAAAATTCCTGGAAAGCCATATTTGCTAAGTCTCTCCTAGTCTCTATATGTGTGGTTGGTAGTCGTGGAAGTGACACATAAAGTAAGCCAGAAGTCTGGCGGAACGTGTAAGAAACTGTTCAGTGCTTTTATGGATGTCATACTTGACAATACATGTATAAGTTACTAATATATGAATGGATGCTAAATATATCTTCCATCTGAATTCCTTTTGGATAAAATTATTTCTTGATGTGAAAAAAAAAGCCTGGCCAACAAGATGAAACCCCGTCTTTACTAAAAATACAAATTAGCCAAGTGTAGTGGCAGATGCCTGTAATCCCAGCTACTCAGGAGGCTGAGGCAGGAAAATCACTTGAATCTGGGAGGTGGAGGTTGCGGTGAGCCAAGATTGCGCCACTGCACTCCAGCCTGGGTGACAGAGTGAGAACCTGTCTCAAAAAAAATTAGTAATAATAATAATAATAAACCACACACAGAGAAAAGTCTAGGACCAGGTGGCTTCACTGGTGAATTCTATCAAACATTGAAAGAAGCAATAATACCAATTCTTTACATACTCTTCCAAAAAAACAGAAGAACAGGAATACTTCCCAACTCCTTCTATGAGACATACTACGCTGATAACAAAACCAGAGAAAGATACCACAAGGAAAAAACCCCAAAACTTCAGGCCAGTATCTATTAGGAATATGAATTCAAAATCCTCAGCAAAATGTTAGCAAACTGAATCTAGCTGCATATAACAAAAAATTAGGCCAGACATGGTGGCTCATGCCTGTAATCCCTCTTAAAAAACAACAACAAAAAAGAAACAGTATTAACTATTATGATCAAGTGGGATTTATATTAAATTTGGCAATGGATTATTAGACATGACACCAAAAGCACAAGCAGCAGCAACAACAGAAAAATAGATAAACTAGACTTCATCAAAATTAAAACCTTTTGTGCTTCAAGGGACATCATCAAGAAAATAAAAGGACACTTTACAGAATAGAAGAAAAATATTTGTAATTTACATATCTGACAGTGGACTAGAATCTAGAATACATAAAGAACTCTTAGAGCTCAATAATAAAAAGGCAAATAACCCAATTTAAAAATGGGCAAAAGATTTGAAGAGGCATTTCTTCAAAGCGGGTATACAAATGGCCGTTAAGTACATGAAAGATACCTGACAGCATTATTCATCACGGGCATGCAAATCAAAATCACAATGAGATACAATTTCATATCCACTAGGATGACTGAATGAAACAGTCAGATAATAACAAGTGTGACAAGAATGTGGAGAAATCCAAGCTTTCCTATGCTGCTGGCAGGAATGTAAAATGGTGCAGACAATTTGGAAAATAGTTTGGCGGTTTCTCACAAAGTTAAATATAAGTTACCATTTGATCCAGTGATCCCACTCCAAGGTGTTTACTCACTCCAAAGTATATATCTAAAAGAGAAGAAAACATATTCACACAAAAATCTGTACACAAATGTTTTTAGCAGTATTATTTAAAATAGCCAAAAGGTAGAAACAATCCAAACAAAATGGCAAACCACCCGAATCAACTAATGCGTGAACAAACAAAATATGGTATATCCATACAACAGAATATTTTTCTGGTCCTAAAAACCAAATGAAATACTGATACATGCTACGACCTGGATGAACCTTGAAAACATTATGGTCAGTGAAAGAAGCCAGTTGCAAAAGATCATATACTATATGATTCTGTTTATAGGAAATGTCCAAACAGGAAAATCAATAGAGACAGAAAGTAGATTAGTTGTCGCTTAGGGCTAGGGGAGATGGGAGAATGCTGGTGGTGACAGCTAAAGGGTACAGTATTTCTTTTTGAGGTGATAAAAATGCTCTAAAATTATGGCTGGGCACAGTGGCTCACGCCTGTAATCCCAGCACTTTGGGAGGCTGAGGCAGGAGGATCCCTTGAACTCAGGAGTTCAATATCAGCCTGGGCAACATGGCATGACCCCGTCTCTACAAAAAAAAAATTAAAAATTAGCCAGTCATGGTGGCACATGCCTGTAGTCCCAGATACTTGGGAGGCTGAGGTACGAGGATCACCTGAGCCCAGGAGGCAGAGGATTGCAGTGAGCCAAGATGGTGCCACTGCACTCCAGCTTGGGTGACAGAGGGAGACCATGTTTCAAAAAATTTTCTTTAAAAATTAAAAATACATGCTCTAGGCCAGGTGAGGTGGCTCACACCTGTAATCCCAGCACTTTGGGAGGCCGAGGACAGCAGATCACCTAAGGTTGGGAATTTGAGAACAGCCTGACCAACACAGAGAAACCCTGACTCTACTAAAACCCTGTCTCTACTAAAAAAAACCCTGTCACTACTAAAAAAAAAAAACCTGTCTCTACTAAAACTGGACATAGTGGCACATTCCTGTAATCCTAGCTACTCGGGAGGCTGAGACAGGATAATCACTTGATCCCAGGAGGTGGAGGTTGTAGTGAGCCAAGATCATGCCATTGCACTCCAGCCTGGGCAACAAGAGTGAAACTCCTTCTCAAAAAAAAATAATAATAATAGCCGGGCGCGGTGGCTCAAGCCTGTAATCCCAGCACTTTGGGAGGCCGAGGCGGGTGGATCACAAGGTCAAGAGATCGAGACCATCCTGGTCAACATGGTGAAACCCAGTCTCTACTAAAGATACAAAAAATTAACTGGGCATGGTGGCACGTGCCTGTAATCCCAGCTACTCAGGAGGCTGAGGCAGGAGAATTGCTTGAACCCAGGAGGCGGAGGTTGCGGTGAGCCAAGATCGTGCCATTGCACTCCAGCCTGGGTAACAAGAGCGAAACTCCGTCTCAAAAAAAAAAAAAAAAAAAGAAAAAAATAATAATAATAATAAAATAAAATAAAATAAAATACCTGCTCTAAAACTGACTGTGGTGATCACCACACACATGTGTGAGTATACTAAAAACCACTCAAGTATACACTTTTAACAGGTGAATTGTATGGTACATAAATTATACCTTAATAAAACTGTTACAAAAAAGAATTAATAAAACACAGTGGCAGCTCTATTCCAGGAAGAAAGCAAGGACTTCAGAGTCCAACAGGCTGTGTTAATCTGGTTCTCCAAGAAAAAGGCACAAGATGGAAAATAATTTATTAGAGGAAACACCTGTGTGAGAGAGAAAATGGGGAGGAAGGTAGGAAAGGCTGAAAGAACTGTCAGACCATGATGAAAGTCTGACCCTGGCTGAAGGAGAGCAAGAGGGAAGGTTCAGGTGAGTATCCCGGACTACCACGCAGCTAAGAAAGCAATGGCAAGCTGTCAGGGAATCCTCCAGCCAACTCTTCTGGCCATCAGAGAAGTTTTTCTCTTTGTTTTTTAAGAGACAGGGTCTTGCTATATTGCCCAGGCTGGTCTTGAACTCCTGGGTTCAAATGATCCTCCCACCTCAGCCTCCTGAGTAGCTGGAATCCCCCTAGAGGAGGGCTCAAAGGAGTTATGTATCAACCAGAAATGGAATCCCTGGCTGTGCTTGTCACTGGATGGCAGATGTTTGTGGCAAGTGAGTCTTCCATGCTATGCAGCAATGAACCTCAGAGGGCAACTGAAACCTCCAATCAATTACACTCCCTGTAGTTGGATATCTGTGAAGCACAGTCTCATAGCTGCCACACCAATTAAGGCTCAAATCCCAGTTCAATAATATACCAACTGTGCGGTCTTACACAGGATACCCTCCCTGAGACACAGTTGTCTCATCTGCAAAATGGGGATAATAGCAGTGCCTGCCACATAGGGTCGATGTTGGGATAAAGTATATACAAACTGCCTAACACAGAAAAGGCATATGATAAGTGTTCAAGAAGTAGTATTAATATTGTATTTACTGTGACTATTGTTATTATTATATCCTTCTTGATTTTATGCACTTCATTAAAATAGTGGACATCATATTCTACATATAATGGGCATTCTGTTCATTTTGCTTAACATCATATTGAAGTCTTTTTCCAAGTTATCATTTGCTCTCCATGAACATGTTAAAGCTGCTTTGTATTCTATGTAGTGTACATACTCCAACTTACTTAGCCCTATTCCTAATCATCAGACCTTTAAAAAAAGTTCTTGCTACTTAAAACAATTATGTGGTGGACATTTTTACATAAAATAATTGTTTTCCTTGTATTTGGGATTTTTCCTCAAGCTTCCAGAAAAGGATTATTGGGTTAGAGACTGTGGATAGGCTAGAGAGTATAAACACTTTTTTTTTTGAGACAGGGTCTTGCTCTGCGGCCCAGGCTAGAGTACAGTGGTACAATCATGGCTCACTGCCTCAGCCTCCCAAGTAGCTGGGACTATAGGCATGCACCACCACACCTGGCAAACTTTTAAATTTTTTGTAGACATGGGGTTTCACTATGTTGCCTAGGCTGGTCTCGAACTCCTAGCCTCAAGCAATCCTCCTGCCTTGCCCTCCCAAAGTGCTGGGATTACAGGCATGAGTCATCACACCCCACTGAGAGTATGAACATTTTTAAGGTTCCTGACACAGGTTACCAAGCTTGTTCTTCAGAAAAATGGGGCCAGTTTATATTCCAGCCAGCGGCATATGAGAGTGCTCACCTCACTGTCCCCTTATCCAGCCGGGAGTATCATTTTTGATATTTTCAAATATTTGCTAACCAAAAAGGCAAAAAAGCATCTACTTATTTGTTCTGTTACTTTTTTTTTTGAGACAGTGTCTTGCTCTGTCACCTAGGTTGGAAGGCTGGAGTGCAGTGGTGTGATTCAGGCTCATTGCAAACTCCAACCCCCAGGCTCAAGCGATCCTCCTACCTCAGCCTCCCAAGTAGCAGGGACCACAGGCACACACCACTATGTGTGGCTTTATTTATTTATTTTGTATTTTTGATAGAGAGAGGGTCTTGCCATGTTTCACAGGATGATCTCGAACTCTTGAGCTCAAGCAATCCATTGGTCTCAGCCTCCCAAAGTACTGGGATTACAGGCATGAGCCACCACACCAAGCCTGTTCTGTCACTTTTAAGTACAGTTTTTTTCAAATGTTTGTGTGCAGCTACTATGATATACAAAATTAATTGTTTTGTGAATTGTCTGTGCACATTATACATTACACACCTGTAATCCCAGCTACTTAGGAGGTTGAGGCACAGGAATTGCTTGCACCCTGGAGGCAGAGGCTGCAGTGAGCCAAGATCACAACACTGCACTCCAGCCTGGGCGATAGAGTAAGACTCCATCTCAAAAATAAATTAATAATAATAAAAATTTCCTGAGATGCTTCTCATTATTTTGCCTTTTAAGGTTTTTTTTTTTTTTTTTTTTTTTTTTTAGTGTATAAGACGGGAAATATTTTGTTGGTCATATCTATTAAACATTTTCTTTTGTAATTTCTTTTGTCTCTTTTAACCTTAGAAAGCCCATCCCCCCATAGAAAATAAACCTTTTTTAACAGATGATTCAAAGTGAAAACATGACTGAGCTACACAGATAATTTTTAAAATTTTTCTGAGTAGAGCCCAATCTAATGATCATCTACATCAATGCCCTTCTCCAGAACTGATCTTCCTCCTCTTTTTTGTGTTCCAGGGCCCAAATATTCACTATAAAGTATCCAGGAAGGATCTTTCTTGTATAAAGGTGCTTCTGAGGACTTCCAGAGTTACAATGGAGGAGGAATCGGGGGAGGAACTAGGGTTGGACAGGTCTACTCCCAAGGATTTCCACTTTTACCACATGGACCTGTATGACTCTGAAGACAGACTGCAGCTCTTTCCAGAAGAGAACACTAGGATGAGGAAAGAAGTAGTCCAAGCTGAAATGGCCAATGAGTCAACAGGAGTGGGGGATGGTAATGCTCAAAGAGACCTTCGAGAGGAAGTGGAGGAACTTGTCCACTTACACGGACTTGAAGATGATCACGAATTAGGGGATGAGTTTGTTGATGAAAACATGCCCAGAATGGGAGTTTCAGAATATCCTCCTTATGGGTTGAAGAGGAGAGACCCAGCCAGGGAGCAGAGAGACTGGAGACTTAGTGGAGAGGCAGCGGAGGCCGAGGACCTGGGCTTTGGAGGGTGGGGCTCGGCAGGCCAGTGCCAGGACTTGCGGGAAGTCTACAGGTACACGCACGGCCGTGCTAGTGAGGAGTATGAATGCTATGTCATCCCCGAGGAAGAAGATGAAGAAGAAGCTGCTGATGTCTTCTGTGTCACTTGTAAAACTCCGATAAGAGCTTTTCAGAAGGTTTTTGATGAACATAAGGAGCATGAAGTGATCCCACTCAATGAAGCACTGGAAAGTGCCAAGGTAAATAGGTCTCCTTGGTTCTTCTCTGTCTTGATATTGCATTTGTATCTCAAGTACACTTGTAAGGTGCCCTCTACAAGAGCGAGACAAGACGTAACATTAATATCTTCTTTGTGATCCTCTGTTGAATAGGATGAAATTCACAAAAACATGTACAAATTGGAAAAACAGATAATCGATATGGAAAACTTTGCAAATCACTTGGAGGAGGTTTTCATCACTGTGGAGGTAAGAGCATACTTGAAGACATCATCAGACTCACACTGCTTCCATCAGCGGCTAGGTCAAGCAGCTGTTTCTGGTATGAGTTAGAGAATCTGTTTCCTTAGAATGTGAGGAGTCACCACTGCCCCACTCTCCTCCCTGTTTTTGTCGACCTCCCATAGCACCTGGGTGTGGATGTCATGGAACCGATAACCTGTCAGCATTCCCTACTGAACTGTAAGCTCTTGGTGTGGACACTGGGTTTTCTGTTGAAATATCCCTAGTCCTACTACGTAGTATGTTTCAGAGCAGGCATTTTATACATGTTTGTTGCATGAGTAAATAAGGCAGAAATTTCCCAATCACAATCCCTCTCCTTCACTGGCTTCATTTTCTCCTAATCCCCCTTTACCCAAATCACTAATTGTATGTGGTTTAGACCCTTATCCTAATTCTTTTTTTAATGTATATTGTTTTCATCATTCAACTTGATAGATCCTTATTCTAACAAAGATGACTTCATGGTAGCATCTTCAGTAAAGTCCCTCATTTGAGCCCAGGTGGTGAAGAGGGGATATCTTTTCTTTTGCCCTTGCCTTTTTTGGTTGTTTATTTGTTCTGGATCTCTTTTTGGGGTAGAAGGTCTTACTGAGAATCCCTGGGGTGCTCCCTCGTGCATCGACTTGAGAAACCAGAAACAGTGGAGTTCCATGTTATTTCCTTAGTTTTGGGAGTTGTTAATTTTAGGCTTTTGGAGGTACCTATAATGTTGACAACATAAAGTCAGGTGTAGACTGTCAAACACTTTTTTGTTGTTTTAAGAGGCAAAATACTTACTTCTACCAATGATTGCTACTCTAACAAAGGAATATTTTTAGCTCTGCATCCATTTAAAAAATAAATTTATGGCCAGGCGCAGTGGCTCATGCATGTAATCCCAGCACTTTGGGAGGCCAAGGTGGGCGGATCACCTGAGGTCAAGAGTTGGAGACCAGCCTGGCCAACATGGTAAAACCCCGTCTCTACTAATAATAAAAAATTAGCTGGGCATGATGGCACATGCCTGTAGTCCCAGTTACTCAGGAGGCTGAGGCAGGAGAATCACTGGAAATTGGGAGGTGGAGGTTGCAATGATCTGAGACCATGCCACTGCACTCCAGCCTGGGTGACAGAGAGATAACTCCATCTCAAATAAATAAATAAATAAATTTATGTGTTGCCTTTGTCTAGTTAGCAATTTCCAGACTTTCCTCAGAGATCAGTAAAAGCTTACAATTCTAGGATTGAAAAGGAGTTTTTATCCTTTGACAGCCCCTCTCTCTCCCAATCTTGACATGAGGAAGAATGTGAGCCTTGATCCAGATGCCAACATGACTGAGATAGAAGGTGTGGCTCTGTAACTTCTGCCCACTAGTCATATTGGCCCCTAGAGCTACAGAGAATAAGACTAGTCCCTCTTTCATGGGTCAGCCTTGACAAGGCATTGCAAGATACCCATCCTGTTTTTGATAAGTGTTCCTTTCCTCAGCTGTTACCTATTTCTTGTAAGCTTAATAAGTTTCCATGTCTGTCATCAAACATGCCACAGTCCCCTGTTGTGCCCTAGTAGATACATGGTACACCATTATCATCATGCCAGAGCTCAACCCAACCTCCCAAGTGAGGTCAACCAGGCCTGAGGAGGTCAGGACTTGCCCTCTCACTTCTCTTCATGCACTGCTCTACTTCTATTAATGTAGCCTCGGATGGTACCAACAAGAGCATTTCATGTGAATCAACTAAGCCCCAGAACAATTTCCCATGAAGCTAGACCTTTTCCACCCCCAATATTACAAAGGAGGAGAGCTATTACACTAATCCCCCATGGAAGACACAGAGAAGGGGGCAAACCCTTCCACTGCCAAGTATAGGGTGGTGGTAGAAGGGGATAAGTGTACAACATCTAAGACAAAACTTCTTACATTGGCTGGCACAGTAGCTCACGTCTATAATTTCAGCACTTTGGGAGGCTAAAGTGGGTGGATCACTTGAGGTTAAGAGTTCAAGATCAGCCTGGCCAATATGGTAAAAAAAATTACTAAAAATACAAAATTTTTACTAATTTTTTTTACCCTGTCTCTACTAAAAATACAAAAAAAAAAAAATTAGCTGAGCATGGTGGTGGGCGCCTGTAATTCCAGGTTCTTGGGAGGCTGAGGCAGGAGAATCGCTTGAACCCAAGAGGCAGAGGTTACAGTGAGCTGAGGTCGCTCCACTGCACTCCAGCCTGAGTGACAAAACGAGGCTCCATCAAAAACAAACAAACAACAACAAAAAAAAAAACTTCTCACACTCTGCTCTGCCAGCTTACTCTCAGATCAAAGTCCCTTCATCTTCAGTGAGGACCCTGTGGCCATCCTTTCATACTCAACACTGGGAAGTTCATCTGTTGCCTTTCTTTCTCTTCCACCATTCTGAGCAAGTCCCATGGACATAGCAGGTGTTCAGTAATTACTCTCTGAATGAATGATAAGATCCTCTTCCTTGGAAATGTCCCCATCATCTGATGAGGATGACATCCATCAGAACTTGCAGAGCTCTGAGGACAATATAAATAACATATACTGTATGAATATTTCACATCTACTGTGCTCCTGGATTAATATTGTCAGAACCCTCCCTCTGCTCTCCTGCATCTTCTCATTTATTAGGCAGTGCTGCCTGGCCACAACCCTTGTTCCCCCTTTGCCTTTGTCTCTCCCCTAGTTGATATGATCCTGGTTGATTTAATCTTGGTGTTTGTACGATCCAAGCACCAAGGAGTGAAGAGAAGCCTCATGAGATGTTAAGAGCTCATGAGGGAATGGTAGATGGGAATCTCTCAAGGAAAATATTTCCACATTAAGGTCCAATATTGGGCGGAATCATCACTGATAATCTCCCTGCTCAGTTATCGTGGTGACAGAAGGTAAATGAACTGGAGGTGGACTGCAAAATGCTGCCAGGAGAGAAAGCAGTGCTTTTGTTTAGATTATACCTGGGGATCTAGGCTGGAGACACCTGTGTTCTAGCACCTCCAACTTTCATTTCAACATCCTGACAAGAGATGCGAGGACAAAGTAGACGGACTAAAATAATTCTGATAGGTACACATTTTCATTTATCTAATCAGGCTGATTAGAGTCATTAGATAAATGAAAATGTGTACCTCTCAACACTTTGGGAGGCTGAGGTGGATGGATCACTTGAGGTCAGGAGTTCAAGACCAGCCTAGCCAATATGGTGAAACCCTGTTTCTACTAAAAATACAAAAATTAGCCAGGTGTGGTGATGCACACCTGTAATCCCAGCTACTCAGGAGCCTGAGGCAAGAGAATCACTTTAACCTGGAACACGGAGGTTGCAGTGAGCTGAGATTGCACCACTGCACTCCAGCCTGGGTGACACAATGAGACTCTGTCTCAAAAAAAAGACTAATCAATGAACCACATGTACTGAAATGATGACTGAGTTCAACTGTCTTGCAGGAGAATTTTGGAAAACAAGAACAAAACTTTGAGTCACATTACAACGAGATCTTGGAAACACTTGCTCAAAAATATGAAGAAAAAATACAAGCTCTAGGGGAGAAAAAGAAAGAGAAGCTGGAAGCCTTATATGGACAACTGGTCAGCTGTGGAGAAAACCTAGATACCTGCAAAGAACTGATGGAAACAATAGAAGAGATGTGTCACGAGGAGAAGGTGGATTTCATAAAGGTCAGTAATGAAATGAAATGAACATAAGAGATGGAATTACAAACAGAAACAACAATTTCAGTTACCTGTCATGGCTGAGGTAAGCTGGGTTGTCCTCGCTCCTCCTGGAGGCACTGGAATCGACTTTTATGGCCATTTGATTCCACTGGGTGATCATGATAGGGAGGCTGTGGCCGCATCTCTCTGTATGGCCACATGAGTAGCCAGGGAGACTCACAGCAGCAGACTCTCCCTCCCACAGCACGGAGGCAGCACCAGTCTCTGTTCCTCTGTTCTGGTCACCCAGATACCTGTCCCCTCATCCTGGAGCTGAGCAGAGCAAAAGCCATGCTCTGAGAGTTTTCCGGCCCCGTCTTGGAGATGGCCTCTTGGAGATCTGGGGAGAAAGTTGTCAAGGCTGAAAGGGCACCTTAAATTTCCCAGTTACAACTGTAGCAATAAAAAAAAGGCTTACTTCACAAACTCAAGATATGCCAAAAAAAAAAAATCAATTTTCCTAATTTTCTTGTAATCAAATTAAATCTGACCCAACCCCCTATGAGGCTGGGCTGTGGGAAATTCAATCTCGGTCAGAGCCAGGGTCCCCTTTCTTCACAAGGTCCCACAGGAGTACCGGGAAGATGTGGTGTCCAGGGCATCGGGAGGGGCCTTTAGCCTCCAGAGCTTCCTGGTTGCCAAGTATGGCCCCCACATTTTCCAAGCACACAGTCACCCCTCAAAGCCCAACTGTGCCTCCTTCCTGCTGTGCTTAGGGTGAGAGACCCGTGAATGAAGCTGGAGAGCAATTTGGCAGGCACTCCAAGAACCATCAATGGTCATACCTTTTGAACTAGTGGACCCACCATATGCAAACGGTGGAGAAAGTGATAAACATGAAGGTGGGCTTCTCGGTGTTATGTATAATGGTGAAAAACTGGAAACAACAAAACATCCAGCAACAGAGGAATGGTTAAGTAAATGATGGAGTTTCCATTCATTAACTGTTCATAGTCAACTGTTATACAAGTGTTCAAGCTGATGGCCCAAAAGACCATTCATAACATGGAAAGTGCTTACAGAGTGGATTTTTTTGTTATTGTGTTCCCTTTGAGACAGGGTCTCACTTTGTTGCTTTGGCTGGTGGATAGTGGTGTGATCATAGCTTACTGAAGCCTCCTGGGCTCAGATGATCCTCCTGCCTCAGCCTCCCAAGGAGGACAGGATCTCTTGCTCAGTCACCCAGGCTGGTGTGCAGTGGCAAGATAATAGCTCACTGCAGCCCCATCTTCCAAGCTACAGTGATCCTCCCATGCCTTAGTGTCTCAAGTAGCTGGGACTACAGGCACACAACACCACGCTGGGCTAGTTTTTTTTTTGTTTGGTTCATGCCAAAGTTAATGGGGAAAAGCAGTACTGTTGTATGGAAGAAAATGCACAGATATAAGGGTGGTTTTGTTAGGGTATGGGATACAGCTGGACTTTTTTACTTTTTCCTAATTTTTAAGTTTTCTTCTAAGTTTACGTTATATATATTGTATATATGTTATATATAGTTATATCAATTGTTATATATATATATATCCATCTTATATATGTGGGATGTAACAATATATATTATTTTATATATATAGTTATAGCTATCTATATATTACAGTATGTTGGTAAAATTATTTCCAAAATCAACTTAATATTTTCTCCTTTTCCTTTTTAGGATGCAGTGGCTATGGCTGACAGGTAATATATTTGTTCTAATATGTATTTCTTTTTTCTATTTTTTTCAAATTTAGATATCCAAATAGACTCCGTTCCATTTGGTTATATGCTTCCAGTTTCAGCCTTTGTGTCAATCCTGAGTAAACTAGCACTGGCTTTGGAATGATGGCATGGAGTCACTAGGAGCATCTAGTATTGAATCTCAGGATCTCAGGCCTAGCCAGGAGCCTGTATGGTGAGGCTCAGTCAGCAAGCCTGTGGGCATCTCTCCTCCACAAGCCCCTCATTTCACCAGGAAGAACTGAGATCTGCAGAGTATCCCCAACATCCCCCGCTATGTCTGGCTGGACCCAGACTGTGCAGTTGCAGAAAGCATGCACATTTTAGTGCCAGACAGGAGTTCACATCCTGCTACACTCATGACCTTGGCAAATTCGATCAGTGTAGGACTCATGTTATCTACAAACGAGAATAGTTTTGAGAATCAAATAAGATAATGTCCATAAAGCAACATGAACATGTAAGTTTAACGATGTAAGGGTTAAGTACAGGGATTTTTGCAAACATGGACATGGTTTCAATTTTTTTTTTGAGATGGAGTTTCGTTCTTGTTGCCCAGGCTGTAGTGCAATGGTGTGGCCTCGGCTCACTGCAACCTCTGCCTCCCAGGTTCAAGCAATTCTCCTGCCTCAGTCTCTGAACAAGCTGGGATTACAGGTGTCCACCACTATGCCTGGCTAATTTTTTTGTACGATTAGTAGAGACTGGGTTTCACCATGTTGGCCAGTCTGGTCTCGAACTCCTGATCTGAAGTGATCTGCCTGCCTCAGCCTCCCAAAGTGCTGGGATTACAGGTGTGAGCCACCACGCCCAGCCCTGGTTTCAAATTCTGCCTCTGCCATTTACAAACCTTGTGACTGCCAGCAAGCAGGTACAAGGAGACCCCGAGTCCCATCATCAGCAACTTGAGGGCATCTGACCATGTAGAAAGGAAGCCCCAGGGGGTCTGCACCCTCAGTACATCTTGGGCCTGGAGTGACTTGAAAGTGGGAACTCCCAGGTTAGCACCTAAGAGATCTTCCAGAGGGTGTAGTTCTGGATCTTGTTGGTGGATCACCTCTGACATGGCCTTACTCTTCCTCCTCTCCCTCAAAGGCGCAAGTCAATCCCGCCCATCCCCACTGATGACCCCTAGGTCAGTCTCCAAAGAAGATAGTAGGTGGCAGCCAGCAGCTGTAAAACAAACTAAATAAAAGTTCAGCAAAGAGTCCTCTTCATTGATGTGACTCAGTACTATAGATATACCCTAAGGAGAATGCCCCTCCATTCTTGTCAGCGTGTCTTTTTACACCAACAGACTCGGGCGATTCCTGAAAACAAAAACAGACGTGGAAATCTCTGCACAGCCTGACTTTGAAGACCAGAACTTGGATTTCTCTGATGTGGAGCAGCTGATGGACTCCATTAACACCATTCCAGGTGCGTGTCTCACCTGTGTGTGTACTTGACGGCAGGCTCAGACTACCCAGAGCACTTTTCTTTCTTGTGATAAAAACACTTAAGATGAGATCTATCCTCTTAACAAATTTTAAGGTGCACAATACAATATTGTTAAGTATAGGTACTGTGTTATACAGCACACCTCTAGAACTTACTCATCTTGTATAACTAATCTTTGTATCCACTGAGCAACAATTCCCCATTTCCCCCTCCCCAGGCCCCTGGCAACCGCCATTCCATTCTCGGTTTCTAAGAGTTTGACTATTTTATATACCGCATATAAGTAGAATCATGCAGTATCCGTCCCTCTGTGACTGGCTAAAATCACTTAGCACAGTGTCATCAAGGTTCACCCATGTTGTCACAAATGGTAAAACTTCCTTCTTTGCTAAGGCTGAATAATATTCCATATGTACACACGTGCGCACGCACAGGCACACACAAACACACACACACCACTTTTTAAAATCCACATCTATTGATGGACATTGAGGTTGTTTCCATGTCTTGGTTATTGTTATAATGCTGCAATGAACATGAGACACAGGTATATTGGAGATCTTGATTTCAATTCTGGTGAATACATACCCCAAAGTGGTATTACTAGATCATATGACAGTTCTGTATAGAAGAAGATTGAAATCATATCAAGTATCTTTTATTATCATTACTATTTTGAGATAGGGTTTTGCTCTGTTGCCCAACCTGGAGTACAGTGGTGTGATCATGGCTTACTGCAAACTCCAACTCCTGGGCTCAAGCAATCCTCCCACCTCAGCCTCCCAAGTAGCTAGGACTACAGGCACATGCCACTATACCCAGCCAATTTGTTCAATTTTTTTTTTTTAAAGATGGGGTCTCACTATGTTGCCCAGGCTGTTCTTTAACTCCTGGTGTCAAGCAATCCTCCTGCTTAAGCCTCCCAAAATGCTGGGATTACATGCCTGAGTCACTGTGCCTGACCTCAAGTATTTTTTTTTTTTTTTTTTTTTTTTTTTTTTTTTTTTTGAGACGGAGTTTCGCTCTTGTTACCCAGGCTGGAGTGCAATGGCGCGATCTCGGCTCACCGCAACCTCCGCCTCCTGGGTTCAAGCAATTCTCCTGCCTCAGCCTCCTGAGTAGCTGGGATTACAGGCACACGCCACCATGCCCAGCTAATTTTTAGTATTTTTAGTAGAGACGGGGTTTCACCATGTTGACCAGGATGGTCTCAATCTCTTGACCTCGTGATCCACCCGCCTCGGCCTCCCAAAGTGCTGGGATTACAGGCTTGAGCCACCGCGCCCGGCCAAGTATTTTTTATAACCACAATGGTATGAAACTAGAAATCAGTAACAAGAAAAAATTGGAAAATTCACAGATATGTGGAAATTACACAACACACTCCTGAGCAATCAACGGGCCAAAGAAGAAATCAAAAGGAAGGTAAAAAAATCTTGAGATTAATGAAAATGAAACACAACATACCAAAATTTATGGGATGCAGCAAAAGCAGTACAAGGGAAATTTATAGCAATAAGCACCTACATGAAGAAAGAAGAAAGATCTAAATAAACAACCTAACTCTATACCTCTAGGAAGCAGAAAAAGAACAAGCTAAGCCCAAATTTAGCAGAAGGAAGGAAATAATAAAGATTAGAGCAAACATTATAAGAAATGTCATATATGACATCCCACAGCTATCATACTAATGGTAAAAAGTTGAAAGCTTTCCCTCTAAGATCAGGAACAAGACAAAGATGCCCACTCTCACCATTCCACAGAAAATCCTGTGAGAGCAATTAGGCAAGAGAAAGACAGAAAGGCATCCAAGTTGAAAAGGCAAAAGGGGGCCATGCGTGGTGGCTCACACCTGTAATCTCAGCACTTTGGAAGGCTGAGGTGGGCACATCACAAGGTCAAGATTGAGACCATTCTGGCACACATGGTGAAACTCCATCTCTACCAAAAATACAAAAATTAGCTGGGTGTGGTGGCGCGCGCCTGTAATCCCAGCTACTCGGGAAGCTGAGGCAGGAGAATGGCTTGAACCCAAAAGGCGGAGATTGCAGTGAGCCAAGATTGTGCCACTGCACTCCAGCCTGGTGACCAAGCAAGACTCTGTCTCAAAAAAAAAAAAAAAAAAAAAAAGATTTAGAAACAAGTATTTTTTTTTTCTAACTTCCTATTTTTGTCTTTATGGCTCATAAGTGAGAACAGAGGTTGACCTCTCTGAGATAAGTACCTACCCTCACTCTCCAGGTTGCCAACATCTGACATTAGTCTTGAAATATTTTCTGTTTATAGCCTGTACAGCTTCCTAAACACCTACCTTCCTAATTTATACCAAGCAAGAAGCTCAAATTTTATCTCTTTAAATGTATGTATGCTCCCGTGAGTGTCTGTTTTTAGCATACTGCTTAAAAGACGGGATTTGGAATTCTACGGACCTAGTGAGAATCCCAACTTTGCCACTTTCTAGCAGTGTGACTCTGGACAACTCACCTAACTTCTCTGAGTCTTGGTTTCTTAATCTGTAAAAATGGACATTATAATACCTCATAGGAATATGGTGAGAATTAAGTGAGATAATTTATGCACAGCATAGTACATGGTGCTAAGTAACTCCTTAAAGTATTATTGTAGGCCAGGTGTGCTGGCTCATGCCAGTAATCCCAGCACTTTGGGAGGCTGAGGCAGGCAGACTGCTTGAGCCCAGGAGTTTCAGACCAGCCTATGCAACATGGCAAGACCCTGTCGCCACACACACACAAAAAAATCTTAAATCTTAAAAATCTGGCTGGGCGCGGTGGCTCAAGCCTGTAATCCCAGCACTTTGGGAGGCTGAGGCGGGTGGATCACGAGGTCAAGAGATCGAGACCATCCTGGTCAACATGGTGAAACCCCGTCTCTACTAAAAATAGAAAAAAAAATTAGCTGGGCATGGTGGTGCGTGCCTGTAATCCCAGCTACTCAGGAGGCTGAGGCAGGAGAATTGCCTGAGCCCAGGAGGCGGAGGTTGCGGTGAGCCGAGATCGCGCCATTGCACTCCAGCCTGGGTAAAAAGAGCGAAACTCCGTCTCAAAAAAAAAAAAACAAAAAAAAAAACAAAACAAAAAAATCTACAGGTACACACTGGTGTGGCATCGTGTACCTGTAGCCCCAACTACTTGGGAGACTGAGGTGGAAGGATTGTTGATCTCAAGGGAGACTGAGGTGGGAGAATTGCTTGAGCCCAAGAGTTTGAGGCTGCAGTGACTTATGATTACCCCACTGCACTCCAGCCTGGGTGACAGAGTCATAACCTGTCTCAAAAAAAAAAAAAAAAAAAGAAAGAAAGAAAGAAAGAAAAGAAAAGAAATAAGCCAGGTGCAATGGCTCACACCTGTAATCCCAGAACTTTGAGAGACCAAGGCAGGCAGATCACAAGATCAGGAGTTCAAGACCAGTCTGACCAACATAATGAACCCTCGTCTCTATTAAAAATACAAAAAATTAGCTGGGTGTGGTGGTGTGTGCCTGTAATCCCAGCTACTCAAGAGGCTGAAGCAGGAGAATCACTTCAACCTGGGAGGTGGAGGTTGTAGTGAGCCAACACCACGCCACTGCACTCCAGCCTGGGTGACAGAGCAAGACTCCATTTAAAAAAAAGAAAAAAGAAAGAAAATAAATAAGTAAATAATTATTGTGATTAGTTATTTGTAAGAATATTCTGTAATTTCTTTTTCAACTGCTCACTCTCCCTCTCTCATCAACACTGAACAACATGATTGTAAACACTGTTTTGTATAGCATTTTAGGTTTTTCCTTGCATAGTATTTTTGTTATAAAAATTGAGTCATTCTGTTTTGTAATCTGCTTTTTTTTAGCAAAACAATTTTGATAGACGTTTTCTCATCCTGATAATTTCTCTTACAACATCACTTTAGTGGCTACATACCTTCATTTGTTTATTTAATCCTCAACTGTTAGATACTGGGGTGTTTCTAATTTTTTTTTTTTGCTATTATAAACCATACTGTAATGCAATCTTTTTTTTTTTTTTAAGTAAAGGTCTTTCAGTTTATTGCTTAAGAAACAACAGATTAAAGAAAACTTTTAGTTTTATTCTCTGATTTTACAGATTCAGATGATTATTCCTATAGTTTATACAAAGAATTCATTTTATAAGCACCCTAAAGTTATAAAGCTAACCACAAAAGTTACCTGTATATTTTTTCTATACCTAGTTTCTTGCAAATTCTACAACCTGACTTAAGGGATAATTAACAGGGGATACGGTGTATTACTAGACATGAAAGCAATCCTATCTGTAGAAAGCTGTAGGCGAATATACCAAAAGAAGTCAGTTGAAGAAATCTGTGATTCTGGTAGTAATATCGTATCACTTAGGACCACCAAAAAAAATGTGTACCTTTCTCCAAATGACAATTGATGCCTTTCTTTATGTAACTTTTCACATGTTTTGGCACATATTCCACTGCATTTCAATAACAATGTTAATGTATCAGTAAATAGAGGAATTTTATATAAAACTATTCTCAGTTTCCTAATTTCTTCCTATATATTTCCTTGGAAAATAGTGAAATTACATACAACAAGGCAACTGACCAAATTTAAAGGGATTTTGTAGATAAAATTCATTTATGGCCGTTAAGTTTTGGCTGGGGCAGGGGGGCCAAAACATCAAAGACTCACTAGTGATTTTTAAAATGTACTAATTCATTTTGAGTTAATTAAAATTAACTTCTATTTGCAAAACACTATTTTAATCACTGACTTAGATGTGACAAATTTATAATAATTTTTCAAAGTTCTTAGGGATGTCTGAGACCTGGCTTTCACAGCATAGAAAAATAATTTCTGTAGCTAGATAGTAAATTCAGTTTTTTCAGTCATTTATAGTTAACGAAAATCTGCCTTTTAAATTCTGCTTGTGAGCCATTCCAAGAATAAAAACCATCTAACAAAACAAAGTTAAGAAAGTATTGCCATAACCTTTTTCACCAAATTTAGAACAACAGAAAAATTTAATAGACTTTTTGACTCAAAAAAAGATAGAAGGAAAAGATAATTATGAAGTTTCAGCCTTTTACATAGTGATATGTATTAAGATTTAGCTGTATTTTATATGTTTGCTATAGTTGTACAATATCTTATTTCTAAGAATCATTTTGAAATTCAGAGGGCATTGATTTCTGATACATTTTACTGGAGAATGTGATGCATTTACCACATATGCAGTATAAAAACTAAATGTGTGTAACACATAGATTGTGCTCATGACATATTTCTAAAACAAATATTTTGCCGGGCATGGTGGCTCAAGCCTGTAATCCCAGGATTTTGGGAGGCTGAGGCGGGTGGATCACGAGGTCAAGAGATCGAGACCATCCTGGTCAACATGGTGAAACCCCGTCTCTACTAAAAATACAAAAATTAGCTGGGCATGGTGGTGCATGCCTGTAGTCCCAGCTATTCGGGAGGCTGAGGCAGGAGAATTGCTTGAACCCAGGAGACGGAGGTTGCGTTGAGCCGAGATCGCGCCATTGCACTCCGTCTCAAAAAACACACACACACACACACACACACACACAAATATTTTGCCTAACTTTCAATCAGTAAATGTGATTTTTTTTTTAAGTTTCAAAGTTTAGCTTGTTTGTTTCAAAGCAATCTCCAAATAAGTTTTTTGAAAACTGTAAATTTTAAAAGGTTCAAAATGACAGTTTTCATATAACTTAAGGTAACAAGACCTTCTTTGACTTACAGACTAATCCTAAAATGAATGGAAGACCTAACAAAACTGCAAAATACAAGACATTTTGTATTTCTGATCTTAATGAACTCATGTAAAAAACAATAATCCCATTTCCCTGATTACTACAGGATTTAAAATTAAATACCCTTAAGCTATTAATTTTGGTTGGCATAGTTATCTTCTATACTATTTTATGCATATAGTTTGGAAATGTGAATGGTAACTAACAGTTTTAATCTACAACTGTTTTGAGACTTTTGAAATCCATAAAATAGCTGATGTTATGTACTCTAAAAATCCTAATATTTAAACTCATCATAACCCTCTGCATGCCACAACGACATATACCTAAGGCCAAGTTAAAAAGAGAAATAATGCACTTGTTGAACAACAGCAACAATGTAATAATACATGAAATGGGCAATACAATGACATTTCATGAAGCAGCACCTGCTTGCCACAAGGCATCATGAAAGAAGACTAACCTTACTTACACATTAATTTTATCAGAAGTAAATGTGATCAGCTACCAACATTTTGAATGGCTGGGAATCTAACTTCAGTTCAAGAGGTCACATACATTTTCAATCTGGAGCGCTAACATGCCTTCCTTGTGCAACTGGTAGACTACACAGGGAGATGCTTAGAATGTCTACAATTACGTTGGGCTCTAATATTACAGAATTATTGGAATTCTTCACAAAAGGACTTGCACACTCAAGAATGAACTTTTATTCCACATGGAAAGCTTATACCAAGAACAAGACAGTGGCTCAAAAACCACCTTTCTAAATATATTTCCATACGAAATAATTTCAAGATATAATTATTAGTTTCTTCTACAGTACGCTATTTAAACAAGAATAAAATAGTAAGTATGTGAAAACTGCACCATCACAAAAATTGAGCCATTTTACTAGTGTAAGTAAACATTAGAACAATCTTGGAACAGGCAAGCAAAATATTCAGAAGGTTGAATCGTGGCGGCACACCTAACGGATTTTAACCATGACTTGCACACTTTGAGACAACACAGATACCTTATACGGATGGTTCAGTAGCAGAACGGCACTTGGTTTGCTCTTAATAGAAACAACATGAACGCAATTGACAATTTAGAGATAGACAATGGCCTTATTTGCATGCTGAAAATCTGGCTGTGTTCTCTAGTTGACACACCGTTAACTGTGCAATCTGTTGACTGGTAAATAAATAGTGCAGGATTCATCTCAGTGAGGTCTGGGCCCCTTTATCTAACCGGAATCAATTCTTAGTCGATACTACACTACCATAGGGTATGACTGATACCTGAGAGCAGACTTGAGAAGCTAAAGCAGTTCAAACACCGAAAAGTTTTCGCCTCTTAGTCACCATCTTGTCATGTAGATGAATTCCATATTATGATCCTTCTCCATAATTTCACCATTGCACAGCACATCCAACTCATAAGAACTTGGAAGTTTTAGTTTTAAACTTAGAAATTTTTAAATAGTTCCAACAGTTAAGCGTGTAGAACATCGAATGAATTTCTTCATTAAACCCTTTACTACACTGTCCCCCGGTAGTCCATTATCTTCATAAACAATCTAGACAGCAATTTGTGGGTCACTTCTATGATAATCTTCATTTTCATCACCTTCTTCAACTACTTTCAGGTTTATCAACTTTTGAAGTAACATCTTGTCCATTTTCTTGAGGCTTATTTTTCTTCCAAAATTCAGATTCACACTCAAGTCCTTGTTCTCGTAGTCCAGGGACCAGCTTAAATATAATTTCCTCTAATGTACTTGTCCAATCTCAACATTCCTAATGGCTTTGTCTCATGAACTTGGTTGCCACACCTTGGGCAATCATTGCTATCTTCCAAGTGCTGAACAATACAAGTCTTACAGACTGTATGGAGGCATTCCGTCACTGTTGTTGGCTTGATCAGATACCCTTTACAGATATAGCAGGTAATGAAAAGATTAAAATCTTTCACCAAGTGTTTGCTTTGGGTAGCCATTCGCGGCTAGCTAGGACTGGCTTTAGTAGTTCAGGCAAAGAGGAGTCCTAAGTAGACGAAAGTCTGATCCCAGAAACTAGTTCCCAGTGGGACATCCTGAGGCATGAGAACTAGCATCCAGATTTATCATGAGATCGTTGATCAGCACTCCTTTTGGCGGTTGTGCTTTCCCATGTCCCGTGGCAAATTTATTTACCAGCCACCGCCGCTGCTCCTCACCCGCCAGCACGCCAGCCTCAGAGTGAAGGAAAGTGAAAGAGAAACAGGACCCGCCACAGCCTGGCCGGTCTCCACCGCAAATCTTTAATCATAGATCTTGGGAACCATTCTTAGAATCACTGGGTCAAGGAGAAATTTCACTGGGCTATGAGGTCCACTAGATGGTTCTTTTCATCATCTAGGAATGGTGCTGCCCAAATGATCAGGTTTAGTCATTGGGAAGGAAAGGCACTATTGCCCAAATCTGTGCTCAAGAAGCAGTGACATTTTTCTTCACCTTCCTGCTTGCATCTAGTGCTTCCTGAGGGGTTAAAAGCTCCCAGAACCACCCAACTTCTTACACGGCATCTCCAGGTGAAGCTGTATTTGACAGTGTCTAGCAGGGCATCTATTGTGCACTCTGGACTTTTGTCATTGGGAATATATGTTCTTTGTCTTCCTCCTCACCTCTGTCACGTTATGATCTTTCAGCCCCTGACCAGAAAGCAAAGGATAAGCCAAAGCTAAGTCAACTCCTTTAATCTCGACTGGCCTTTTACATGGGTTGATCGATTTCAACTTTTGAAATTAAGGATATTAAAAGCCTGGGATGGAAGGAGGTGCTGCCATGGGAGAATTAGGGAGGAAAGGGCCAGGCACAGTGGCTCACACCTATAATCCCAGCACTTTGGGAGGCAGAGGCAGGCAGATCACTTGAGGTCAGGAGTTCAAGACCAGCCTGGCCAACATGGCAACCCCGTCTCTACTAAAAATACAAAAATTAGCTGGGTGTGGTGGCATGCGACTGTAGTTCCAGCTACTTTGGAGGCTGAGATATAAGAATCGCTTGAATCCAGGATGTGGAGGCTGCAGTGAGCCAAGATCATGCCACTGCACTCCAGCCTGGGAAACAGAGTGAGGCTTTGTCTCAAAGAGAGAGGAAAAAGAATTTTAGAGGAAAAATACCACTTGTTCTTATTCTTGGTTGTGTGTGTGAGATTGTATGGGTTTGGGAGAGATAGAAGTATTCACCCACAGAGAAGAAAAGAATTAACTTAGTAGATGAACTATAAAGTTGATTTTGAAAAGCACAACTGGGCCACCCCCATCTTCTCTCACTGTAACGTGGGAGATGGTTTCTGGATGCCCCTTCTCCCCACCATCAATAAAAGTAGATCCTCCTTGTTGAAGGCTTCTTTCTCTCTGCTGAGGCAGCAGTGCTGTGATCCTGGTTGTCCTGCCTCTTTAGGTGCCATGCAAGGGCCAGAGGATCCACAACCTGGAGCAGGACTCGCAATCTATTCCCTGACCTGAATCCCCATCACCTACCCCTGCTCTCTAAGCTCATCTGCACTTGTCAAAGCAAGAACAGATATACTGGTTGTATTTTTGAAGACTCATGGTTGAGAGGCTCTGTGTTCCCATCCTTGTCTACTCTGGGCTTCCTCTTTCATTCCCAGAGGCTGTGGATTCACTGGGGGGATCAATGATCACTGGGAAAGGGGTCACTGTCACCCCACACCTCTATTAGAGGCTTTTATTATTTTTTTTTCTTTTCTTTTCCTAGCTCCTTCTGCTCCAGTCATAAATCCGCAAGCCCCTAACTCAGCCACAGGTTCCTCAGTGCGAGTGTGCTGGAGCTTATACTCCGATGACACCGTGGAGAGCTATCAGCTGTCCTACCGGCCAGTGCAGGACAGCTCACCTGGGAAGGACCAAGCAGGTGAGGCTCTGCCAGGAACATGCTCATGCTCATGGGAACGGTTCAGGCCCTGCAGGGGCCTGGGCCCCAGTCTTCCTAACAGTTGGGATGGTGGAGACAGGGTGGGTCTATACATGCCAAGGATGGGATGCAGGCAGGCAGGCAGGCAGAAAGGGCTAGCAAGGCATCCTGGGGCCTGACGGGAGGATGGCAAGGCCAGGCAAAGGGGGCTGGAGTGTATCTACAGCCACTGAGTCAGAGTTGTCGCTGAGACCAGTCTCTGGCTGCACCGTGTGCAGGAGGGGACCAGGGCCACCCCTTGTCAAGGAAGCCCCGCTGGGCTGGCTCGATTCTAACTTGTCCTGGCAGCTGAGGGTCAGGCTGGCTCCTATCACAGCAGCCTTGTGCTGCAGGAGAAACTGGAGGATTCGTCTGCAGACCCCATGATGGGTGAAGGGGCCTGTGTAGCCTGGAAGGGCCGCTGCTGACCAGCTCCACATTCCCAGGTGGAGACAGCTCCTGGGATGGCCCCCAGCCTCCACTGTGGTCAGCTCTTAGCCAACATCCTTTTTCCTGGAAATGGGACTGGCTGGTGTGGGGTTACAGCTGGGGTAGGGCCACACCCTAATCAATAAGCTGTTCTCTTTTAAGGAGGGAGGGTCAGACAGCAGAAGAGCCCCAGCTGAGTATCTGAAGATTTCAAGGGATCAGGGCCAGCCTGACAGCACCAGTCCTGTGCATGTGGGGTCAGAATGGGATTGCTGGAAAGACACTTAGAGATCTCCATTTTATGGGTGAGGAAACAGACTCAGCGGGAAAGGAGCAGTCCGTGAGGACATAGTGAGTTACGGCGGAATGAGTGTGTGGATCAGGTGTGTAGGCATCCTGCCCCAAGTCCCACTCATTGTACCCGACCATGCAGGTGGAGGGCTGAGTTCCAGAAGCTGAGGATGGTGTTTCTGCCCAGGAAAGAAGGGGAATTCTTGGGAAAAGTAAGAGTAAATTTAAGTGATGATGAGGGAGGGTGAGGGTGGTCAGCATAAGGACTAAAGAGGACATGGAGCGAGGTGAGGAGCTTTGAAAAGGAAGGTTGGGGACTAGCAAGTCAGACTTCATTAACCCCAGCTTTTGCCACAAATCAACCCTGCCAGCATCCCCTGCAGATACACAGAAGCCATTGCATTGGGGTTGTGCCATGGCAATCTATAAGATCTTTTAAACTGACCATTTTGCTATAAAGGAACTGATATCTGAAGGTAAATTAAGGAGTTATCACTGCCTTTCAAGATTCTGGGGAAGTCTGGAGTTGTGTCAGTTTTTGTGGCAAAACCAATCTTCCTCCGCACCCCCTACAACTTAGTGGCTTAAAATAACATTTATTATTTCTTGTAATTCTGTGCATTGACCAAACCAATGCACAGAAATATAAGGCCACCACTACCCAAGGTGGTTCAGAACAGAACCACCCCTACCTTGGGTAGAGGTGGTTGGTCCAGGATGGCCTCATTTACTGTTGCCTCTGGTAAGATGGCCAGGACTTGGGCGGCTGGGGTGTCTCTCCCTGTGGTCTCACATCCTCTAGGAGGCTGGCTTGGCCTTGCTGACATGGTAGTGGAAGCATCCCCAGCAGCAAGAGGGCAAGGCCCTGTGCACCAGCACTTCCCATACCTCTGGTTTGCATCGTTTGCTATTGCCCCATTGACCAAAGCTAGTCACATAGCTAAGCCCAGTTTCAAGGAGCAGAGAAGGAAGAAAGCTCTGAATGGAAGGAGCAGCAAAGTCATGCTGCAGAGGGAGTGCATACAGGGATGGGAGGAATTTACAGCTGGTTTTGTAATCTACTACAGTGGGATTCGGCATAATGAACTTGAGGCCACTTGGCCAGTTTTTAGGGTTGAATTCTTACCTTTTTTTCCCCAGAGTTTACAGTGACCATCAAAGAAACATATTGCTCAGTGACAGACCTTGTGCCAAACACCCAGTATGAATTTTGGGTCACAGCTCACAACAGGGCTGGCCCGAGCCCCTCCAGCGAGCGTGCAGTGTACGTGACAGGTAATGGGCTACTCATTTCCTATAGCAGGGCTTTCATTGAAAGGGGACAGAGGAGTCATGGGTTTCTACACATTGCAGTGTGCTTGATTTCATTTGGAAGGGGAGGAAGAGCTGTGTATATATTTTTTTTATTTAATTCACCAAATCTATATGCCTAGTTTGACAGTGACATTTTCTTTTCCTTTTTTTGGAGACGGAGTTCCACCCAGGCTGGAGAGCAGTGGTGCGATCTCAGCTCACTGCAACCTCCACCTCCCAGGTTCAAGTGATTCTCCTGCCTCAGCCTCCCGAGTATCTGGGATTACAGGCATCTGCCACCACACCCGGCTGATTTTTTTTTTTTTTTTCTTTTAGTAGAGACGGTGTTTCACAATGTTGGCCAGGCCAGCCTCGAATTCCTGACCTCAAGTGATCCGCCTGCCTTGGCCTCCCAAAGTGATGGGATTACAGGTGTGAGCCACGATGCCCAACCAACAGTGACCTTTTCTGATGGTTGGTCTCAAAATAGAAAAAAACTCCTATTCTCGGTCACACTGACATTTGAACCTTGCAACCATCTGCTACTCCAGGAACATCTGGAAGGGATTTCCTGGTTTGCTTATAGCCCTTAATCTCTTTTGTGAGAGGAAGAAGGTGGCTCTGACGTTTGTCCTTGGCTCTAAACAAAATGGCTGGAAATGAACACAGCAGTTGTTCGTCTCTCCCTTTCTCCCATGTTTAGCGCCTTCTCCCCCCATTATAAAAACCAAAGAGATAAGGAGCTGTGAAGAGGCTGTGCTGATTTGCTGGGAGTCTGGGAACTTGAATCCTGTGGACTCGTACACTGTGGAGCTGACCCAGGCTGAGAGTCCAGAAGCCTCAGGCGTAACTGAGTGAGTCATAGCGGCATTTGTGGGGCATGAGAGCCCTGACACCTGATACAGTGATGTGGCTTAGAAAGTATATGTAGTCTGGAAAGAAGGTTGGCATTTTGATACAAGGAATCTCAATTTTTGCTTGCTTAGTCTTCACGAAAAGTAGCTGGAATGCTATTACTCAAGGTGAATGATGTATGAATAGGTTGGTTGAACCTCAGGTTTTGTTGTTGTTTTTTAGCTCAAGCAAGGTTTCCCATTTATTCATTCAACAAGCATTGAATGCCTGGGTGGTGCCAGGTCCTGGGCAAGGCACTGGAAACTAGATGGACAAATGTCCTGCCCTACTGGAGCTGACAGTCTGGTGGGGAAATAGACAAAAGGCAAGAAAGCTAACCAATGTGTAAAATATGCAGAGCTAGGAAGGAAAAAGAAGTGTAATAAAACAGAATGGTGCTGGAGGTGAGGATCCACTTTGGATAAAGAACATGTTTAAACTGAGACCTGAACAGATGGGAAAGACTGAGCCGGAGAGAGGGGGCTGTATGGACACAAGCCCGGGGCAGGAGTGAGCTTGATGTGCTGGAAGAACTAAAAGACCCACCTAGCTGGAATTCAGAGAGGAGAGAGTAAAAGCCATAAGGTGAAAACAAAGGAGACTGGAGCTCAATGTACAAAGAATGTTTCATCTATCATAGAAGACTGTCTGGAAGCTCATGCTCACCCCTCATTCTCAGAGAGCTGGAGGGGTTCACAAATTGATAAGGGTTGGGCTCAGTGACCAAAAGGGCTCAAAGAACCTATGAGTTTACAGCAGCCTACGATGGAGGAAGCATGGATTTACCTCTGGTTTACAGAAGTTTGTGAAAGGGGATGAACCAGCCAGGTAGGCCAGCACCAGCCACCAGGACCAGGGGCTCCCCTGCTATGGAGCACAGGGGTGCACTGACCTGGAGCTGGAGAAATGAACAAGGGTTGGTGTCAACTGTTAGGGAAGCAGATTCTTCTGTGCTAAATGTAAGGCTTGAAATGTGGCCATATGCCACCCATGCATCTGTTCTAGGTGGAATCTGTGTGTCCACAGCCACATGGAGGCTGATCTTGGTAATCCACTCTGGCCATCCTAATGGTTCAGGTTTCCTTTGCAATTTACATTGATGCTTTAGGGGCACTTGACACCTGGGACCAACTCACAATGATGAGGTCATCAGAGGGCTGGTCAGTAACCTGAGAGGTGGTGCATATTCTTCCAATACAAATCCAATCATGGGGACCCGCTGCTGAAGAAAAGGCAAAGGTCCTTCACAGGCTCTGGCCCCTTCCTGCCTCTCCAGCTCCTCCCGCACCAGCTCTCCTGCCTCTCAGGCTCCCGCCACACTGGTCACGTTTCAGTTCCTCCTACTTTTTGTGCTTCTTCCTGCCACAAGTGTGGCCTTGGCACATGCTTCTCTTGTATAAGAGACCCCTCTGTCCCTTTTTCATCTAGTTACCTCTTCAGCATTCTTCAGAGCTCAGCTTAAAAGCCATCCCTCCCCCGCCACTATACACTATAGCACACTGTCACCTTGTCACGGTTACCATCTTACATTCCTTCCAGTGATTGCCTGAGGAATACCTCTCTTCCCATCTAAACTATAAGCCCTATGAGGGCAGGAACTACATTTGGGTTTTCCCAGGGCCACGCCATACACTGCCTGGAACCTAAGGAGTTTAGTTAATATTTATTGAATGCATAAGTAAAAGTGCCTCTCTGGCCCAGAGCTGCAGCCTGTGGGTACCTGTAATCCCAGCTACTCGGGAGGCGGAGGCAGGAGGATTGCCTGAACCTGGGAGTCAGAGGTTGCAGTGAGCCAAGATCATGCCACTGCACTCCAGCCTGAACAACAGAGCAAGACTATCTCAAAAAAAAAAAAAAAAAAAAAAAAGCCCTTGATTCATGTTCATGAACAAACAATTCTGACTAGAGCTGAAAGTTAACTATACTAACCACCTGAGAACAGCTGCCTATTGGAAATAATCCAATTTATTTAAATTGTACTATACAGAACTACAAGCCCATAATTCCCACTGTCTATATTGCTGTGGTTGCCAACCCCATTTCAGTCCAGTGGGCAAGAGAAATCTTTAGGATGATGCCCCTTTACCAATATAACACCCTCACCCAGATGAGGCCAGGCTGTCCAGGTTATCTTCAGCACCACCATGCCTGGCTAATTTCTGTATTTTTAGTAGAGACAGGGTTTTGCCATGTTGCCCAGGCTGGTCTCGAACTCCTGACCTGAGGTAATCCACCTGTCTCAGCTTCCCAAAGTACTGGAATTACAGGCATGAGCCACTATGCCCAGCTTTTTTTTTTTCTTTTTTTTTTTTGAGAAGTCTGGCTCTGCCACCCAGGCTGCAGTGCAGTGGTGTGATCTTGGCTCACTGCAACCTCCACATCCCAGGATAAAGCAATTCTCCTGCCTCAGCCTCCTGAGTAGCTGGGATTACAGGAACCTGCTACTACACTCGGCTAATTTTTGTGTTTTCAGTAGAGATGGAGTTTCACCATGTAGGCTAGGCTGGTCTCAAACTCCTGACCTCAAGTGACCTCCCACCTCTGCCTCCCAAAGTGCTGGAATAACAGGTGTGAGCCATCGCATCCGGCTGAACTGAAGGCCCTCTGTGGGCCCAGTACTGTACTAAGAATAGTGGCACTCAGCCCTGATCTCAGAGACGTTATGATCTGAACAGATGGATGGAGACACACTGGATTCTTCTGCATGCATGCTCCATGTGCAGTGCTAGCCATACGCCAACTGTGGTGCTGGGTGCCTGGGAAACCAGAATGAGGGGCTTGGAGGGGAGACAGCCACAACACAAGAAGTAGCAACAAAGTGAGAAAAGCAGACCAGAGACTGTGGGAGGGAATATGGAGGGGGAGTCAACACTCCTGGCTGTGCTGCTGTGAGTCAGAGGACAGGTGTGTAAGACTGAGTTACACCTCCCAGCTTTGAAAGGGATGCCTGGTGCTTGGGCCCGGGTGTCCTGGCCCCATTCTGACTGCAGCTCTGCTTCCTTGTACAGGTCTGTTGTGGGCATCCCAACCTGTGAAACTCTGGTGCAGCTGCAGCCGGGACAGAGCTACATTATCTATGTGCGAGCCCTCAACATGGGGGGCCCCAGCGTGAGGAGCGAGCCCGCTACAGTCCACACCATAGGTCTGTGCCCCAGGCCACACAGTCTCTGAGACCCAATGTGGCCACTCTGTGGCAGACCCAGTGCTGCTGTGACTTCGCGGGGAAGCTGATGAATATGCACAGATATGGACCTGTGGCAAGTGAGGCCAGAAGGAGTTCAGGGATGATAATCCTGTGGTCCCATGTGACAGATGAAGAGACTGAAGGCCCAAGTCACATAATAATTTGGTAGCTGAGCAAACATTAGAACTCAAGGCTTTTCTCCATGTCCCTCTGCTGAACCACAGGCTGGTCACGCCAGACCTGGGTAGCCCAGACATGTCATATTATATCTCACACACCATGTGTGGCATGGGGTCTTTATGAAATTCCCAGAAAACGCCATAGGTCATGGCTCACCTTCCTGTTCCTGCTGTCAACCCAAGCATCTCTCCATTCAGAGGGCAACTTAGATCTGGCTGACCAGCCTCCTCCCATCTGGCCTGGCCCTAGTGGGTGCTCACATACCCCACTACAGCTTCTTCTCCCTTCTCACCTGCCATATCACACCATGGAACTATCACATCTCATGTCCAAGTCTTAAGTTAGCAGAGGCATCACTAGAAACATTCTACACATCTCCTGTTGTCCCGGCACTGATTGATAGAGTACAGCCAATTTTTGATTACTCAGTTGTCTCTGAATTTGTTTATTCAAATAATTTTGTTCAGAGATAGAGTCTAGTTGCCTAGGCTGCAGTGCAGTGGCTATTCAGAGACATCATCATAGTGTACTGAAGCCTCAGCCACCTGGGCTCAAGTAATCCTCCTGCCCCAGCCTCCCAAGCAGCTGGGAATACAGGTGCACCTCACCACACCCAGCTCTCAAGTAATCTTTTTTTTTTTTTTCAGACAGGGCCTCTCACTTAGTCACCCAGGCTGAAGTACAATGGTGCAATCTCAGCTCACTGTAGCATCTACCTCTCAAGCTCAAGTGATCCTCCCACCTAAGCCTCCTTAGGCTTAGGGACTACAGGTGTTCACCACCACAACTGGCTAATTATTTAAAAACAAAATTTATAGAGACAAGGTTTCACCATGTTGCCAGGCTGGTCGTGAACTCCCGGATTCAAGGGATCCACCCACATCAGCCTCCCAAAGTGCTGGGATTACAGGCACGAGCCACAGCACCCAGCCAAATAATTTTTTAAGAGAGTATTTATCAGAAATGTAAATAAATGTGAATCAGAGAAACACACACACACACACACACATATATATATACACATATATGTATTCAAAACTGATCCTTATTTGGGACTAGGGAGTAGGCAGTAAGTGTCATGTGTTGTGTGAGTTGCAAGGTGGGAACATGCTTCCCCTTCGTATCAGCTCAGATGGCAAGTGAATTTTCCAGCAACATCACATTGTGAAAATAATAGTGAAAAGCTTGATGGTGATGCTTGAACTAGGGATTGGGACAGTAAGAAGTGATAGAATGGGAACTTAAGAGCTTGACTAAGAGACAGTAATGGTGAATGAGTTATAGTAACTCATTCTTAAACACCTGTTCTTAAAAACAGGTATTTTTTACCAGATAATTATTTATTAGATCAAGTGCCACTTTTTTTTTTTTTTAAAGGAACAGGCTGGCTGTATTGCCTAGGCCCGAGTGCTGTGCCTATTCACAGGCATGATCCCACTACCAATCAGCATGAGAGTTTTGACCTGCTTTGTTTCCAGCTGGAGCCAGTTCACCCCTCCTTAGGCAACTTAGTGGTCCCCTGTTCCCAGGAGGTGACCATATTGACAGGGAACTTAGGGCAGACACACTGTCCACATTGCACAGTATAGCCCAGAACTCCTGGCCTCCAGCAATCCTCCTGCCTCAGCCTAGAAATCCCACCTCAGCCTCCAGTGTGGCTGAGACTACAGGCTTGCAACAGCACACGCAGCTATCCTGTACCACTTTTTGATGGTCTTTGTTTTAATCATGATTTGGGGATGACTCTAATCTACTTCCTTCTGCCCCACTGCTAGCTGCAAATCAAATGAATCATTAAGAAGTCCCTCAATTCCTCTTTCCTTTGGCAAACAGGTTAGAAATTCTTATCCATATACAGGCATTACAGCTAGAGGTGAAGAACACAGCCCATGGAAGCAGAAAGTCTTGGGGGTCAGTTTCAGTTCTATCATTTGCCGGCTGACTTCTTAACCACTCTGCCTCCGTTTCCTCGTCTACAAAATGGAAATGGTCACACCTGTTTCTAAGGGTAGTTGTGAGGATCGAAGGAGATACTAGGCACACAAGACTCCCCAGTTAGTGTTAACTGCCATCCTTGTTAAGGGGACAGCTATTACTAGGCCAGGTCCAGGCTTAAGTGTGTCCCACAGGAAGCTAAGGCCGCAACACCCCCTCCCCTCCATGGAGAAAGCAAGTGATTGCCTGCGGGTCTTCTGTGTGTTCCTCCTCCCACAGGAAGCTACTTTCGCCTAAACAAGGACACCTGCCATCCCTGGCTGACAATTTCTCAAGATGGACTTATGATCGTACGAAGTGAAAGGAGTACCCCCACCAGAGAGCCACCACCCAGAGATACCCACTTCACCAGGTACTTTGTCAACAGCTCACAGGGGCGTTCTGTGAATTTCCCGAATGTGCACTGTTATTCAGGTCAAATCTGAATATGGCACGGAGGCAGCCTCAAGGGAAAAGGGATTCCAGAAATGAGTGAGGAGGGAGGAGCCTAGTGGGGAGGGGACCCAGAGGAGTGTGGGCAAAAGAGGTCAGGCAGGTGAGAGCAGAAGAGCCCCTTGGAAGGGCAAGGTCCAGGGAGAGTGCGGGTTCCTGGGAGGAATGATCCCCGGGTCCTAGGCTATCAGAGCTGTAGCAGCCAGAGGTCATGAAGGTAGGACAGGTATTACTAGCGGAGGGTGTCCAGGTTCTTGGCGTTCAGAACAAAGAATTGGACAAAACACACAAACAAGGCAAGGAAAGAGGCTGGGTGCAGTGGCTCACGCCTGTAATCCTAGCACTTTGGGAGGCTGAGGCAGGCAGATCACCTGAGATCAGGAGTTTGAGACCAGCCCGACCAACATGCCGAAACCTTGTCTCCACTAAAAATACAAAAATTAGCCTGGCATGGTGACCTGCACCTGTAATCCCAGCTACTTGGGAGGCTAAGGCAGAAGAACAGCTGGAACCCAGGAGGCAGAGATGGCACCACTGCACTCCAGCCCAGGTGACACAGTAAGACTCAAAAAAAAAGGCAAGGAAAGAATGAAGTAACAAGAGCAGAGATTTACTGAAAATGAAAGCACACTCCACAAGGAGGCGGGCCAAGCAAGCAGCTCAAGGGCCAGGTTACAGAATTTTCTGGGGTTTAAACATCCTCTAGAGTTTTCCACTGGTTACCTGGTGTACATCCTATGTAGATGAAGAGGCTAAAGTGAAGTTACAAAGTCATTTAATCGGTGTACATCCTATGCAGATGAAGAGGATGTTTCAACTTCCTGCCATAGCTGAAGTACAAAGTTAGAAGGACTTTGTATTTGGACTTAGAAGGCTGGAGTTTTTCCATTTAATTTAGTTCTGTAAGTCCTTAGGTTCTCTGCCTCCAAGACGCTATTCTGCCTCACAGGGGTCATGCTGTGGGGCAGCGGTAGAACAGAAACAAGGACCTAGGTCTCCCACCAATTAGCCCAGTGCTCTTTCTCCTGCACTGTGGTTCCTTACAGCAAAACTCCTGATGGAAAACTAGCCATGGAGTGTGTCTGTTCCAAATTTGGGGGAAACCATCATTGTGCTGGTGCATGATCTGTGGGCGGGGTGGCCCACCAAAGAGGCTGGCTGGCTCTCCAGTTATTTCTAGAACTTGGTACACAACACATGTTGCAATTACTTATATTTTCCTTACTTCTTTCCAAAGACTTAACAGACAAAAGAAGAGCCAAATACAAAATGCTGAAATAGAAAAATCAAAGCAATGGTTAAAAATAAAGGACACAGGTTAACTTCAAGGGCTAATTCAGTTTCTAGGATTAAACATAAATATGGCCTCTCAGCTTCCTGGTATCCATGGCAGAGTTCTTGGAAGGTTGATTTTAGAGTCAAGAGGATCTTCTAAAAAGGCAAAAGGGCTCTCCTATTAGGGTTGGAAGGGCCGCTGAGGGAAACTATCCAGCCCCCCTACTTCGGTCCTGAATAGTCCTCTCTGCTGGCTCTTCCTCTGACCCTGGCTTCCTGCTGGCCTTTTTACTGCACATGGGTTAAGCACTTACTATATGCAAGTGTTAGTGTGAACTAGCAGGTGGAGAGGAAAATGATTTTGTTCTTTCCTCCTCTGCCTTTTCAAACCAGGTTTGTGCAGGTGTAGCGATGAGTAAGAAGCAATAAAGGTTTTGCCTGACTAGCACCAAAGCAACGTTTAAAGCTACTCTCATGAGTACTGTCATAGGCCCCTCTGACAGCAGCTGTGGGCCCCAGGCAATCCCCCTCCCTCCAGTGGCCCCTCACTACACTTCAACCTTTGCATCCAACACAACTCTAGCCTTTCTGCTGAGGTCTCCTTGACCTTCACAGGAAGCCCTCCTGGTCAGGACCACCTTAAAAACAGCACTAAGACAGCATCCCTGTGGTGGTTTCCAGTCACATCTGGTCCTGGGAAAACACACATCTTAGATGAGGCCACCACTACTCACTCTTGGTGTAAATAAAAAAGCTCTCAGGGCAGACAAAGCCTCCAGCATCTTCAGCTTCAGCCCTTTGGTTTTGCACTGAAAAGCTGTGAACCCAGTTTTTGGCTCTCTCCTTCTAAACTTCTGCCTAGGAGGTCTATTTCTAGCATCTCACCATGAAATACAGGAGTTCTTTATACCCATCGTTGGTTCTTGGCTTTTGGGGATCCAGCCAAGCTGAGTTAGAGAGTGCAATTTTAATATCCTGTTGCCAGTATATCTGTTGCCCTGTCAAACACTGTGCTGTCCTGGGGGAGAAAGAGATGAAGATACAGTCCCTGCTCACCTAAGACTCAGATCTCAAGTGGGAGAGACATCCATGCAAAAGGCACACATACTAAAGGTAAGGCAGATTTATGGACAAAGCATTGTAGAAGCCCCAAGAACAAAGACTTGACGGACAAAGACATGAAGGATAAATGGGAGTTCTCTAGGCCAACAAGGCAGATAATTGCGTTGTACATATACACATGAAAGAGGCCAGAAAAACCATGTTTGGAGAAATATAAGGAATTTGGTATGTCTGCAGTATAGGGTCCACGATGAAAAGAGGTGGAAGATGAGGCAGGAAAGTCGGAGGTGGTCCAGAACAAAAAGGAAGTTTGGATTTTACCCTCTATGTAATGAGAATTATTAGAGGATTTAAAGCAGGGGAACAAGATGAGATTTTCATTTCAGAAAGATTCCAGTGCATGAATGTGAGCTAGGGAGGGAGAGGGAAAGGGAAAGGGAAAGGCAGATGGGAAACAGAGACCAGAGAGGAGACTTGACTACACAGTAGGGTGGGTGAGAGGAGTCAGTGGAGTCAATAGCTGTTGAGCGCATAACGAGTCTAGGTGGTCACCTGTTCAAAGGGCAACAGAGAGGGAGATGAGACAGGGACTATCATACTGCCATATTTATAGAGTGCTTACCAGGTGCTAAATATATTTCATCTCATACAATCATCCTAACAGCCCTGTGAGGTCTGTACTATTATCAATCCCAGTTGACAGATGAGAAAACTTAAAACACAGAGAAGTAACTTGCCCAAGAGTATAATGCTATTAAGGGTTGAAGTGGGGATTAAACTAGAAGGTTAGCGTGTAGCTACTGCATTATTCCCATCTTAGTTTTCTGTCAAGGGGTACTGGGCAGATAATGAGTCTTTTTTTTTTTTTCCTTAAAGATGGGGTTTCACCATGAGATAATGAGTCTATTAACCAAAATGGAGATGTGAGAAGTATGTGCCCCTCCCCACTATACCCCAAACTTTGGTAGATAAGAGGGGTGGGAATATGACTATTTGCATTTTGGGACTTTCCGAATTTGAAACAACAGGTGGAAATGTGGGTCTGGAGCTTAAAGCAGAGATAGGCTCATTTTATAGATGAGGTAACTGAGTAGAAGCTAATATGCAACCTCCTTCGCAAAGCTTTGCTTGGCAGTAAGAACTTGGGGTTTGAGAGTGGAGAGATTTTAAACTGAACAAATCTTTCTAGGGATGTTGGGGGCACATACATTTTGGTTAATGTAGGAGTCTCCTGAAGAAGGTGGAACATTCATTTTGGAGATACTAATTTGCTTTTCACGAAAACCTTCCTCTGTTCATACTTTACTGGTGTAGAACAAAACGTAAATCTAACCTTTGTCAGTATAATTGTTCCCAGTCCAACCCTGGAGGTAGATTTTGATGATTTATGAGGAATCGGCTATCTTGTTCTTGGGCTGGCCCCTGAATTCTTGTCTTCCATCAGGAGTCACCCCTAACATGATGGCTACCTCAAGACCTTCCCTGTTCATTCTGTACCATAAGCAAGTGCTGGTGAACTTCAAGCTTATGGTTCCCTTGACCGTGCTGCGTTGTATATTTTCAACCCTTTTCTTCATGAACAAGTGAGCCAAACCTTTTTCTATAAAAGTCCCAACCATTTTAAAGAGCCAACAAAGCTTGTTGTTGGTTTAGTGCCTCCCACTGTTCCATTACCAAGCAGTATCATAATCTTCTCTAATCTTCAGCATCAGCCCAGTGAGCTTTGAGAGCTAAGGGAGCTTTACAAGTGTCCAGAAGCACCTACCTCCTCCACATTCATAGACCACTGACTGACTGATCCCAGCAGCTGGCATCACTGACCTGTACAGTCAGGCTTGGGAACCCCAAATCACACATGCTTCTGCTTTCTAAAACCAGGTGTGTTGCTGTCATGGGAAATCTAATTCCAGTCCGAGGGCACCATTATTGGGAGGTGGAGGTGAATGAGCATTTCGACTACACAGTTGGTGTGGCCTTTGAAGATGTCCCTAAAAAGGAGGATTTGGGAGCAAACTGCCTGTCCTGGTGCATGAGGCACACATTTGCATCATTGAGGTAAAGTAAAATTTGGATATTCATGATTAAAATTTGCTTTGAAAGATTCGGCCAGGCACAGTGGCTCAAGCCTGTAATCCCAGCACTTTGGGAGGCCGAGGCAGGTGGATCACGAGGTTGAGAGATCGAGACCATCCTGGTCAACAAGGTGAAACCCTGTCTCTACTAAAAACACAAAAAATTAGCTGGGCATGGTGGCACATGCCTGTAATCCCAGCTGCTCAGGAGGCTGAGGCAGGAGAATTGCTTGAATCCAGGAGGCGGAGGTTGCGGTGAGCCGAGATTGTGCCATTGCACTCCAGCCTGGGTAACAAGAGCGAAACTCCGTCTCAAAAAAAAGAAAGAAAGATTACAGCAAAATCTTTTCACTAGCAATAATTAAGACTCACATTTAGGCCGGGCGCGTTGGCTCAAGCCTGTAATCCCAACACTTTGGGAGGCCGAGACGGGTGGATCACAAGGTCAAGAGATCAAGACCATCCTGGTCAACAAGGTGAAACCCCGTCTCTACTACAAATACAAAAAATTAGCTGGGCATGGTGGCGCGTGCCTGTAATCCCAGCTACTCAGGAGGCTGAGGCAGGAGAATTGCCTGAACCCAGGAGGTGGAGGTTGCGGTGAGCCGAGATTGCGCCATTGCACTCCAGCCTGGGTAATGAGAGCAAAACTCAGTCTCAAAAAAAAAAAGACTCACATTTGTTTTACAAATATTCTAAGATATTTCAAAAGTTGCTGCCAGACACTTTCCCTAAAGTCCAAGTAAAAGGAGAAAGAGCAGCTTTTCTCTAAATTAAAAATAGCTAAAATTTATGAAGAATTATGTGCCAGGAATTCTTACATGCATTATCTCATTTACTTCTCCTAAGTGTATTATCTCATTTTAAAAATCAAAATGCTGGGTACAGTGGCGTGGGAGGATCGTTTGAGCCCTGGACTTCAAGGCCAGCCTGGGCAACATAGCAAGACCCCGTCTCTAAAACAAGAAAACAAAAATAAAAGAATAAAAGAAAGAAGACCACACGTCACAGCAATTAGATCATCCAAATGACATGGATTTGGAGCTTGGATTCAAACTCAATCAGTCTGGCTCCAAAGACTACATTCCTAATCACTCAAGTGAATGATTTTTTCATTTCTGTTAACCTTAATATTAAGCCAGTACAGTTTGCTTTGAAGCCCCAGTTCCATCTTTTTAAGTAAATTTGGGCAAGAGGCTTAGTGGTTATGGCTAATTCTGGTTTGTTCCTGCTGCTGGGCACTCTGTCTTTACACATGGAGTAGTTCCCTTTAGTGGGAAGAAAGTCTCAGGAAGCCCAGGCCAATGAATAAACTTTCAGATTAAGAAGGCCATGGTTACAACCTTCCTTCAGGTCAAAAACCGAAAAAACAAGAACCCACACTGCTTTCCCATCACCCTTATAAAGTGGGGCCTGTGACCCTCCTTGGTTTGATGAATTCTATTAATGTTCATCCAGTGTTCTCCGTCCATGATCCTTTATCATGGTTATTTACACATTATGTGTCATGCCCAAGCATAAGTGGGAAGACCAACTTCCCCCGGATAATAGATGGGGACTCTAATGAACTCTACTAAACCTCAGACCCAGTTTGGTGAATGCAAGAATTACTATACACTGAGGGAGATACTTTATATGCAGATTCTGCCTGAACTAAGACTAAAAATCGAAGTCTCTTCTTTAGAAAGGCAAGAACAAGGGACAGAGTAAAACTGAGGGAGCATAAAGAAAGCCTAGGACAGGTGCAGTGGCTTACACCTGTAATTCCAGCACTTTGGGAGGCCAAGGCAAGAGTTCGAGACCAGCCTGACCCATATGGAGAAACTCCGTCCCTACTAAAAATACAAAATTAGCCAGGTGTGGTGGCAGGTGCCTATAATCCAAGCTACTCAGGAGGCTGAGGCAGGAGAATTGCTTGAACCCAGGAGGCGGAGGTTGCAGTGAGCCAAGATTGTACCATTGCACTCCAGCCTGGGCAATAAGTGCGAAACTCTGTCTCAAAAAAAAAGAAAAAAGAAAAAAAAGAAAGCCTTGCCTGCCTTGCCTAGAAGTCTATGTGTAGTGGGTAAGTAAGTGGGGTAAGAAGACAGAATAGTCGGGCGCGGTGGCTCAAGCCTGTAATCCCAGCACTTTGGGAGGCCGAGGCGGGTGGATCACAAGGTCAAGAGATCGAGACCATCCTGGTCAACATGGTGAAACCCCGTCTCTACTAAAAATACAAAAAAATAGCTGGGCATGGTGGCGTGTGCCTGTAATCTCAGCTACTCAGGAGGCTGAGGCAGGAGAATTGCCTGAACCCAGGAGGCGGAGGTTGCGGTGAGCCGAGATCGCACCATTGCACTCCAGCCTGGGTAACAAGAGTAAAACTCCGTCTCAAAAAAAAAAAAAAAAAAAAAAAAAAGACAGAATAGAAGAGGGGTGGAAACAGAAGAATGACAAAGGAAGGGAAAAAGGTATAGGCCAAGTGCTAGAGCCAAGCCAGTTTGTTGCAGATATAGCAGTGTGTGTGTGTGCACACACGTGTTACAAGTGGAGAATGAAGGTAAAGTACCCTAGGATAAGGTCTCCTAGCAGACTATTTTTTGGCTCATAGTATTAGACTCTATTGGTGGTGGGAAAGTAGAAGAAAGGACTCAATATAGCTTCTGGCAGCTGCTTAATTAAGATAAGGTGAAATGGGCTAAAGACAGGCTGGCTTGCTCTGACACATTTAGATCGTATTCCAAGTGTTCATCACAGTAGCCTAGACTTGCATGTTAACACACAGAGCTCTTCAAATATCTGTAGATAGCAGGGTTAGGAAATTCCTGTGCCAGGTTTTGGTTTCTGCCATTTTTCAAAGTACACAGGATACAGAGCATGGATAGTGATAGAATACTGATTGGTGACAAGCTCACCGGCTCCCCACTCAATCTGAAAGTTTAAGAACTGGAGTAACTGCATAGAAGAGCTTATACCAAGAGGCCCATTTTACCACATGGAAAATCACAAGGTTCTATTTCAAATGTCTAATCCAAATCTTAAAAACATGTTCCATTTCTACTCAAGTTTAGATACAAGAGAGTTCATGATGCTGTGGGTTAAGTTTCTTAGGTTAAGAGGTTGCTCAAGAAAAAATGATGTTTGAAAAACGTTTTGGCTGGGCACGATGGCTATGCCTGTAATCACAGCACTTTGGGAGGCTGAGGAGGGCAGATCGCCTGAGCTCAAGAGTTAAAAACCAGCCTGAGCAACACAGTGAAACCCCATCTTTACTAACAATACAAAAAAACCAGCCAGGCGTGGCGGCGAGTGCCTGCAGTCCCAGCTACTCAGGAGGCTGAGGCAGGAGAATTGCCTGAACCTGGGAGGCAGTGGTTGCAGTGAGCTGAGATGGCACTACCTCACTCCAGCCTGGGTGACACAGCAAGATTCCATCTCAAAAAAAAAAGAAAGAAAGAAAGAAAGAAAAGAAAATCTTTCTTAGGAAAAATTTTAGAAAAGAGATAGTTTAGAGAGTATAGTTTCAGAAATGGCCTGTTACTTTGGTAGTCATTTAATACTAAAAAATAACAAAATCGTAGGACAATAAATAAAATTAATATGAAATGTTCCATATTAAAATCTATAGAATTTCTGAAACTTTATTATGTCAAATTTAATTTTCAGGCATAAGTATGAATTTCTACACAACGGAACAACTCCAGATATAAGAATAACAGTTCCTCCAAAGAAGATTGGCATTCTACTAGACTACGAAAATTCAAAGTTGTCATTTTTCAACGTGGACCTTTCTCAGCATCTATACACATTTAGTTGTCAGCTTCACAAATTTGTGCATCCCTGTTTTTCTTTGGAAAAGCCTGGGTGTCTAAAGATACATAATGGCATTTCAATGCCAAAACATGTCACTTTCTATTAGAACATTCTGATGTCCAGTTTCCTATCTTCCAAGCCTACCCCTCTCACAGCCACTCATGCCTTAGCTGGTTGAACTTGGCATTCAAGCACCATGTGCCCAGCATAATTTATGGCTCATGTTATTATCTGACAGAAGGTGTGCTAGTGCTCATTTCACCCAACCTAGATTTTAGTCCAGTGTGCTGCTACCTGAGTGATGCTCAGATGGTCGTTACCAGGCCCAGCTGTAAAATAAAGGCTCAAACTAAATGAACTCAAAAGTCTTTCTAGTTGTCAAACTGTATTTGTATATATGCGAAATATCTTTAGTTTCTGAGATGGAGAGAGCTTGGGAAAGGAGAGGGGAAGTCTTAATGGCTCTAGCAGCCCCAGTACACTCATGCATTTCATGAGTCAGCCAAGTATATACTTTAGAAGGTGAGAGGCTGTCTGCAGAGAACCAAGGAAGCTGTGTGGCTTTCTCAACGTCTTCTACTCTCATTTTCCCAACAGTGAGTAGCACTGTGGTGAGGTCCCTCCCACTGTGTACTCCCTGTTCCACTCCTATACAGTATGCACCACTCTCTAATTTTGAAATTACCTCTATAATACCTAATTCCATGAAGGCAGGGACAGTGTCTGTTCTGTTCATCACTAGATCCCCAAGGGCTAACACATAACAGCTGTCACCAAGCATTTGTTGAATAAGTGAGTATCTTCTTTCACCACTGCTCTTTGGCATCTCACTGCTGTCCATCTGAAGGATGGCAGGGCTCTTTCAAAACTACAGCAAAGGGGCCAGGTGCGGTGGCTCAAGCCTGTAATCCCAGCACTTTGGGAGGCCGAGGCGGGTGGATCACGAGGTCAAGAGATCGAGACCATCCTGGTCAACATGGTGAAACCCCGTCTCTACTAAAAATACAAAAAATTAGCTGGGCATGGTGGCACGTGCCTGTAATCCCAGCTACTCAGGAGGCTGAGGCAGGAGAGTTGCCTGAACCCAGGAGGCGGAGGTTGCGGTGAGCCGAGATTGCGCCATTGCACCCCAGCCTGGGTAACAAGAGCGAAACTCCATCTCAAAAAAAAAAAAAAAAACTACAGCAAAGGACCTATGGCCAACAAATGGGAAAAAACCTAGAATGAAGGCAGCGTGAAAGAACAAAAGGGCATCTGTGGCATATTAGCAAGTGTACACAATTTTTTTTTTTTTAAAGAAATCAACAGCCCACCAAAGGGCAAAGCTGAGGAAGGGAAGGAAGTGATCTCGAGGCAGCTTTCAGGCATCCTGTCTCACTGCTCCGATGCCATTCTGTGACCTCAGTGGCCAACTTCATCAGCTCCATTCCTGGTTCTCCCGTTCAAATTTCCAATTGCAACTTAAGCTCTGCACACACGGCATTTTCAAAGCTTGTGAGTGAAACTGCAAAATCATTCCATTTGTGAAGCAATTACAATTCAGTATCTTGCCCCACAAATGCCTCTAAACCCAGATATGCCCTAATCTCATCATTTAAGGTTGTGTGTTTAAAAAAAAAAACTTTTGGCCGGGCGCAGTGGCTCAAGCCTGTAATCCCAGCACTTTGGGAGGCCAAAGCGGGTGGATCACGAGGTCAAGAGATCGAGACCATCCTGGTCAACATGGTGAAACCCTGTCTCTACTAAAAATACAAAAAAATTAGCTGGGCATGGTGGCACGTGCCTGTAATCCCAGCTACTCAGGAGGCTGAGGCAGGAGAATTGCCTGAACGCAGGAGGCGGAGGTTGCGGTGAGCCGAGATCGCGCCATTGCACTCCAGCCTGGGTAACAAGAGCGAAACTCCGTCTCAAAAAAAAAAAAAAAAAAAAAAAAAAAAAACTTTTTGCTTTAAAACTCTGATGTTTTCTGGCGAAATCTCGTCTCTACTAAAAATACAAAAAATTAGCTGGGCATGGCAGCAGGCACCTGTAATTCCAGCTACTCGGAAGGCTAAGGCAGAAGAATTGTTTGAACCCAGGAGGCAGAGGCTGCAGTGAGCCGAGATCATGCCATTGCACTCCAGCCTGGGTAACAAGGACGAAACTCCATCTCAAAAAAAAAAAGCCTCTGATGTTTTCCAGCACATGCTAAGTCTGACAAACTGAAAGACTCTCAACTCCTACTTAACTCCTACTTAACTCTGCCTACTGGTATAAATGGCAGCTCAGATTCCTGAATTAATAACTCACAATGACAATTTAATAGCTCGTTACACACACACACACACACACACACACACACACCCTGTCCTGCCAAGCTGGACTGTCTACTCCAAAATAAGGGACAACAGATGTAAGCACCGAAATGATTCCAGTTATAACAATTAAAAGATACATACGGCCGGGCGCGGTGGCTCAAGCCTGTAATCCCAGCACTTTGGGAGGCCGAGGCGGGTGGATCACAAGGTCAAGAGATCGAGACCATCTTGGTCAACATGGTGAAACCCCGTCTCTACTAAAAATACAAAAAAAATAGCTGGGCATGGTGGTGCGTGCCTGTAATCCCAGCTACTCAGGAGGCTGAGGCAGGAGAATTGCCTGAACCCAGGAGGCGGAGGTTGCGGTGAGCTGAGATCGCGCCATTGCACTCCAGCCTGGGTAACAAGAGCGAAACTCCGTCTCAAAAAAAAAAAAAAAAAAAAAAGATACATACATGTATATTCAAAAATGTTCTCAGCTACTGAAATAGAAATCAACAAGTAAGAAACAGGATATTGCAGAGAAGACAGGTTTGAATTCAGGGTTCTAATAGGCTTTATGGAATACTTCACATGTTAATATGAACATGGATAAAAGGATTAAAAACTCAACACTTATAAATTTTTAAATTTTTATTTGACCAAAAAACTGTCTAGAATTGTCTGACATTTAAAATCCACTTAAACAAAGCAGATTAGCAACCTCAAGCATCACAATTATTCAGCATAAAGAACCTTTGTTGAAACATCTTTCTCATTTATTTAGAAGAAAAAAATCTAGAGCAGAACCAAACAGAACTTTTGTATTTTTGTAAAAAAAAAAAAAAAAAAAAGGGCCGGGCACGGTGGCTCAAGCCTGTAATCCCAGCACTTTGGGAGGCCGAGGCGGGTGGATCACAAGGTCGAGAGATCGAGACCATCCTGGTCAACATGGTGAAACCCCGTCTCTACTAAAAATACAAAAAAAATTAGCTGGGCATGGCGGCGCGTGCCTGTAATCCCAGCTACTCAGGAGGCTGAGGCAGGAGAATTGCCTGAACCCAGGAGGCGGAGGTTGCAGTGAGCCGAGATCGCGCCATTGCACTCCAGCCTGGGTAACAAGAGCAAAACTCCATCTCAAAAAAAAAAAAAAAAAATTTCCAATTCCTTAAAATATTATGAACAATCTACTGAAACTATATTTCAACAAGGGGTATGATTTACCTCAAGGCCATGTTCACCTGCAACCTGCTCATAAATCTGTTAAAAAACAAAGCAAAAAAAAAAAAAAAGTTTTTTTTAAAACTTAGACCCCTAGCCACAATCCCTAATACTGGACAATTAAAAGATATCAAAATCTTTTTTCTTTTTTTTTTCATTTTTTTTTTGAGACGGAGTTCGCTCTTGTTACCCAGGCTGGAATGCAATGGCGCGATCTCCGCTCACCGCAACCTCCGCCTCCTGGGTTCAGGCAATTCTCCTGCCTCAGCCTCCTGAGTAGCTGAGATTACAGGCACGCGCCACCATGCCCAGCTAATTTTTTGTATTTTTAGTAGAGACGGGGTTTCACCATGTTGACCAGGACAGTCTCGATCTCTTGACCTTGTGATCCACCCGCCTCGGCCTCCCAAAGTGCTGGGATTACAGGCTTGAGCCACCGCGCCCGGCTACAAAATCTTTTTTCTTAGCTTTATCTGTATCACTTTGTAACTCCTGAGAAAGTCATTCACATAAGCTGTGGCCTCCCCACCTTAACAAAGGAGAAAAAGAATATGTAAAACCAGCACAGTAACTTGGTGTAAACTAACATGGTTTTAACATTCAGAATTTAAGGTACACTTAGAAGACAGAATTGGAAAGTTGGTTTGAGACTTGCAATCTAAAATGACACTGGTTTCTGTTAAAATTAAACTGACTTTTATTTAGAAAAGTGTGTTTAATAATTGACTTCCTGCTGATTCAAGTGACACACGATCACCTGTATACATCTAATAAGATATTTTTGAAGTGTACACCTGGTCAAAAGTAAAAAGCAGAGGAAATGCATGGGCAGTGGGGCCTTTTTCTTAATACTTCTCATCCTCCAAAATCTGTTAAAATCATCATCTTCCACAACTTACACACTGGAAGCTGTCCACAGCACAACTCACTGGGATGTGGCATTCTGTAAATAAGACTACATTGGTCTTGATGCAAGGAGGTTCAGCTACCAGACTGCACTATAAGAAGAGCCCTCTCCTCAACTTACCAAAACAACTTCTCCAATTTCTAGTCACCTTCCTATGAATTCGTAGAGCAAGATTCTCACATATTCACTATGTCTTTCTCTAGTTTTCTCATCTATAAATTTACTATTCCTATTTTCTATAGAAAGACAATGGAAAGCATATAATTGCTGTTGGTAGATAAGTAGGTCTTGAATTTATTTTGCAAACAAGACCTGTTCTATCTACCTTTTCATTTAGGAGGCTAACAGCAGAGTCAGCTTGACTTCAAAGACTCTATTTTCTTAGTCTCCAGAAGAACACAGCCAAGTCCAGCTTTTAAAACACGGTCCCTTAACATGTCAAGATACTCAAGTAAAGATCATTTGTAACTTCAAGCTATAAGAGATTAACTCTGTACTTATGCTTGTTTCACTGTAAACAATGGTTAATTAATCTAAATGCAAGAGAGGACTTTGTTATTTGGAAAGAAGACCTCAGCTGGCCAGCATCTTTTCTGTCATCAGGAAGTTCTCTGGAAGGAGTATGACTATCACCTGGGCACAAAAACTGCCCCTCAGTAATTATTTTAGAGTTGGTACTGAACAGGTGCTGTTCTTGTCAAGTATATCATGTCTAACTACTTCACTGCTTGTTTTCTGCTATCACCAGTTGCAGGAAAAAAAAAAAAAAAAATTAAGCCCAACTAACTAATTGATTGCTTTTTCTTCATTTTCCCAGACTGTGACAGTATCATGGTTTTCAGTTCTATTTTCACCTTACTCAAATCCTGGAGGAATTAAACTATTATTTATTTGAAATGTTACAAATTAGCTTGCAGCTGATCCAGACAACATAGAGTCACTCAGACATAGCCAATAAAAATGTTTTGGAAATATGAACTTGGATTCTAATCTTGCTGTCTCTCCCACTCTCATTCCAAAGTCTAAACGTTAGGTCTCTTGCTTGAGAGGAATTTAAGAGATGCTCTTAAGGGCCGGGCGCGGTGGCTCAAGCCTGTAATCCCAGCACTTTGGGAGGCCGAGGCGGGCGGATCACAAGCTCAAGAGATCGAGACCATCCTGGTCAACATGGTGAAACCCCGTCTCTACTAAAATTACAGAAAATTAGCTGGGCATGGTGGCGCGTGCCTGTAATCCCAGCAACTCGGGAGGCTGAGGCAGGAGAATTGCCTGAACCCAGGAGGCGGAGGTTGCGGTGAGCCGAGATCGCGCCATTGCACTCCAGCCTGGGTAACAAGAGCGAAACTCTGTCTCAAAAAAAAAAAAAAAAAAAGAGATGCTCTTAAATTCAAACAGACGAGATTGGAGGAAAGAATATAATCCATTCACTGGGAAAGTACGCAACCAACAAAACTGAGATTTCCCAACTATGCACTATGATAATGCAGAAGCACATTTTAGAGATAGCTTTACCAGGTATACACATTACTCTTGGTAAACCGATCTATTATTCTGCCACTTGCAAAGATTCTTACCCTTCTACTTCCTTCCAAACATTCATTTAATTTAAAGGTGATAGGGACAGGGGGAGAGAAGGAAAAAACAAGCAGCGCTATCCAAAAGTAAGAACAGTACTCTAGAGAAAGGTGTAAGATACTCAACACTGTTTTTTGTACCATTTACAATTCATAAATTGGTCAGAGTCCTAGGCACCCAGAATGGACCTCCTCTTCCTTGTCTACCTAATGCCTGTATATGCCTGTATAGCTCCAAAATCACCTCTTAAAAACACTGCCTTATTCCTCCCTCTCCCAGCAGAGGTTAAGAGCCACACTTACCTCTTCTAGATTACTTAAGTGGCTATACTGCAATCATTGACTTGTGTCTGCTCCATTTGACTATAAGCAAATTGAAGGCAGGGTGTGTGACTTCATAATCTCTGAATGATCTGAACATGGAAATAACTACTTTGTGCTTTTAGGGACCTTATATACCTGTAAAGAGAAAAGAGACATGAAATTATCTTCCAAATCAAAGGAAAAGCCTCTATTAGAAGGCAAAGCAGCTTTCAAATTTGTGTGTGCTTGGGGATTAGAAGGAAACATTAAAAATATAAACCTGCAGCCGGGCGCGGTGGCTCAAGCCTGTAATCCCAGCACTTTGGGAGGCCGAGGCGGGTGGATCACAAGGTCGAAAGTTCGAGACCATCCTGGTCAACATAGTGAAACCCCGTCTCTACTAAAAATACAAAAAACTAGCTGGGCGTGGTGGCGCGTGCCTGTAATCCCAGCTACTTAGGAGGCTGAGGCAGGAGAATTGCCTGAACCCAGGAGACGGAGGTTGCGGTGAGCCGAGATCGCGCCATTGCACTCCAGCCTGGGTAACGAGAACGAAACTCCGTCTCAAAAAAAAAAATATATATATATATATATAAACCTGCTGGGCACGCTGGCTCACAACTGTAACCCCAACACTTTGGGAGGCCAAGATGCGCAGATCACCTGAGGTCAGGAGTTCGAGACCAGCCTAGCCAACATGACGAAACACTGTTTCTACTAAAAATACAGAAATTAACCGGGCATGGTGGCAGGTGCCTGTAGTCCCAGCTACTTGGGAAGTTGAGGAGAATCGCTTGAAACAGGGAGGCAGAGATTGCAGTGAGCTGAGATCGCGCCATTGCACTCCAGCCTGGGGGACAAAAATGAAACTCCACCTCAAAAAAAAAAAAAAAAAACCTGAAATATCAACCTTTCTTCTGTCTCAATACACCCGAAAGATCTGATACACAGTTTCATTACTAACAGTGCTCCATGGTGACTTCTAATCTGGGAAGAGTGGGAGAGGGCACAGAAGAATCTGGGAGTGGGAAATATGTATGTGGTTTAAAATGCTCTTCCCATCACTGCAAGAGACTTTTGATACATTTAATATGTATCATAACCAGACTATACTTAAGAGAGCCCAAAGATCTTCAACACATATGTTTTAAATGCTCTAAATCATAAATTTGGTTCATATGCCCTGGAGGCTGGTGAGTGAAAGCTACCACCTTGACTACTGAGTAAGCTTAACTGTCAATCCCATATTTATAGCACAACATGAGTATTTGGCTTTCTGCTAGTTTCAGGATCTAAAACTTTATGGAATAAATTACATGCTATAAAGGTAATGTCAAATTAGGGACTTAAAAGATCATTCCTTTTCAAATGTCAAGTATCTTTAAAAGTCATCTTCTGAAGTGACACAAAGCAACACAGTGTTATAGCTCAGTACCTAACAACAGCCCATCTCCCCCAAACAACACTTTGGCCAAATGTATATATTATCTGTAGGGTGGAAATCAGATAAACAAACCCCTTGTTACTGAAATCTCATCCTTTTCTTATAAAGTGATGGATGGCTAAAATTTTCAAACAGTGGGATCCTATGCTCCATTATTTTAAATTGGAAATAAAGGGATCATTCTATATTACTGGACATGTTTCTCTGAACATGTAGAGTACACATGCGGGCATGCACACACTCAACACGCAAAAGAAAGAAATACATGTTCCCGGCCCTTCAAAGGACCTCAAACCAACTTCCCAAAAGAATCACATACAATTAGCTACCAAAGATTTCTATATAAGGCATTTTAAACACCATTTACCTATTTATTATAAACTCAGTAGTGGGTATGTTTCTGTACAGTTAACTACTGAAAACTTGTCTTAGTTCTGGAAGAGAGAGAAAAGGGAATGGAATATAGAGGCTGTGACATGCTGCTAGCTACTGGCAGGGGAAGTGAGCAAGAGATAACTGGCCAAGAGAGTGAGAAGACAAACTGCCTGTGGCTTGTCCATGACCAAATCTATTAAACTGGTAGTCTTCTCTTCTTAGTCCTTGATTCTCTAGCAGCTGGTCTGAATCACTGTCTGAAACTATTAAAAAAAAAAAAAAAAGCAGGCTGGGCACGGTGGCTCAAGCCTGTAAGCCCAGCACTTTGGGAGGCAGAGGTGGGTGGATCACAAGGTCAAGAGATCGAGACCATCCTGGTCAACATGGTGAAACCCCGTCTCTACTAAAAATACAAAAAATTAGCTGGGCATGGTGGCACGTGCCTGTAACCCCAGCTACTCAGGAGGCTGAGGCAGGAGAAGTGCCTGAACCCAGGAGGCGGAGGTTGCGGTGAGCCGAGATCGTGCTACTGCACTCCAGCCTGGGTAACAAGAGCGAAACTTCGTCTCAAAAAAAAAAAAAAAAAAAAAAAGCAATGGAATAAAAAGAATACAAAATGGCTGGGTGTGGTGTTGTAGAAATGGGGTTGCCGCGTTGCCCAGGCTGGTCTCAAACCCCTAACTGCGAGCAATCCACCCACCTCGTCCTCCCAAAGTGCTGAGATGACAGATGCGAACCACATTTGGCTGAGAAAATTTTAAATCTCAAGTTATATATGCTTATTTTTTGTAGAGAAGTATCCTAGCTGGTTAATAAAAAACTTTCCAAGCATAGAAAAACGTTACAGGCCAGGCGCAGTGGCTGACGCCTGTAATTCCAACACCTCAGCAGGTCAACGTGGGAGGATTGCTTAAGCTCAGGAGTTTGAAACCAGTCTGAGCAACACAAAAAGACCCCATCTCTACAAAACTTTTTTGTTGTTGTTGTTGTTTTAGCCAGGGTGGTAGCACACACCTGTGGCCCCAGCTACTCAGGAGGCTGACGTACAGGAGCTCTTGAGCTCAGGCTGCCAGTGAGCTGTGATTGTGCCACTGCACTCAAGCCTGGGTGACAGTGAGGTTGTCTCAAAAAAACAAGAAAATAATTTAAAAAATAAACATCTGTTTGCATTCTCTGTGCCTGGAAATATACAGCTACTGAAAATACAAGCTACTGTGTTTGTTGTTGCTTTTTTTTTTTTTTTTTTTGAGACGGAGTTTCGCTCTTGTTACCCAGGCTGGAGTGCAATGGCACGATCTCGGCTCACCGCAGTCTCCGCCTCCTGGGTTCAGGCAATTCTCCTGCCTCAGATTCCTGAGTAGCTGGGATTACAGGCACGCACCACCATGCCCAGCTAATTTTTTTGTATTTTTAGTAGAGACGGGGTTTCACCATGTTGACCAGAATGGTCTCGATCTCTGGACCTCGTGATTCACCCGCCTCGGCCTCCCAAAGTGCTGGGATTACAGGCTTGAGCCACCGCGCCCGGCCTGTTGTTGCATTTTTAAGGTGATACTTCTGCTCATGTCACAATCACTTGTGACAGCAATCATTCATGTACATAATGTAAAATTTCTTTGAAACATTTGCATAAAGCAGTTCTTAAAAGTGTGGTCTCAGGCCGGGCGCGGTGGCTCACGCCTGTAATCCCAGCAATTTGGGAGGCCAAGGCGGGTGGATCATGAGGTCAGGAGATCGAGACCATCCTGGCCAACACGGTGAGACCCTGTCTTTATATTAAAAAAAAATTTTAAAAAGTGTGGTCTCGCTGGGCTCGGTGGCTCAAGCCTGTAATCCCAGCACTTTGGGAGGCCGAGGCGGGTGGATCACGAGGTCAAGAGATCGAGACCATCCTGGTCAACATGGTGAAACCCCATCTCTACTAAAAATACAAAAAAATTAGCTGGGCATGATGGCACGTGCCTGTAATCCCAGCTACTCAGGAGGCTGAGGCAGAAGAATTGCCTGAACCCAGGAGGCGGAGGTTGCGGTGAGCCGAGATCGCGCCATTGCACTCCAGCCTGGGTAACAAGAGCGAAACTCCGTCTCAAAAAAAAAAAAAAAGTGTGGTCTCTGTGGGGGGCTTCTGAGAGCCCTTCTGGGGGTTAGTGAAGTCCAAACTATTTTCATATAAACCACATAAACAAAAGCTCTTTGGAGTCCTAAATAACTTGAGTCTTGCGACGAACAAGTTTGAAAATTGTTTATATAGGGGCTGGATGCAGTAGCTCATGCCTGTAATCCCAGCACTCTGGGAGGCTGAGGCTGGAGGATCACCTGAGGTCAGGAGTTCAAGACCATCCTTGCCAACATGGTGAGACCCTGTCTCTACTAAAAATATAAAAACTAGGCCAGATGTGGTGACATACCCCTGTAATCCCAGCTACTCAGAAGGCTGAGGTAGGAGAATCTTTTGAACCCAGGAGGCAGAGGTCACAGTGAGCCGAGATTATGCCACTGCACTCCAGCCTGGGTGACAGAGCAAGACTCCATCTCAAAAAAACAAAAAGAGAAACAAAAATTAGCCAGGTATGGTGGCGCACACCTCTAATCCCAGCTATTCAGGAGGCCAAGGCAGAGAATCGCTTGAACCCAGTAAAGGGAGGCTATTTATGGCTTCCCCAAAATAAATATCTGGTTGAATGAGTTCCTCAGTACTTAAGACACCCACTACATGATGTGAACAGTTTTTCAGTATTTGCTAGTGTATGGATTGTTTTCTGGGTCTCGGGCTCACTTACTTTCTTCACAGGCTTTCCACTGTCCTGCAACACATTTCCATTTCATAACATGAGAGAGATGATTGCAATAATGCACAAGAAACTTAAGCCACACAAGCACCAAGTATAAGATTAACTTGAGAAGACAACTGGGGTTTGACTGCAGTGTACTTTACAGAATCCGTTTTCTAGGGCGAGCACATAGCTTGTTCAATGAACCCCAGGTCACTCTGTGTAAATATATCTAACAGGCAATGAAAGTTCCTTTGTCACATATTGTTACTACACATCTGTTGCTAAAAGGTAAATGACAGAAACAACATGGGCTGGGCGCAGTGGCTCACGCCTGTAATCCCAGCACTTTGGGTGGATCACGAGGTCAGGAGTTCAAGACCAGCCTGGCCAAGATGGTGAAACCCCCGTCTCTACTAAAAATACAAAAATTAGCCGAGTGTGGTGGCACGCACCTGTAATCCCAGCTGCTTGGGAAGCTGAGACAGAGAACTGCTTAAACTCGCGAGACAGGGGTTGCAGCGAGCCGAGATCACACCACCGCACTCCAGCCTAGACGACAGAGAGAGACAATGTCTCAAAAAAAAAAAAAAAAAAAGCGACATGACAGACTCATCTCCGTCTATAAAATATGAAAGATGTAGATGATTGACACAATTCTAAATCCTAACACACACTGACTTTGCCTTTCATGGATTTATATCGTATACAGACGTACATTACTACTCTCTTCACCCCTCCTTTCAACTCCTTATCCACCTCGTAAAAAAAGACGAATTGTCTAGCAATGCAAAGAAACAGTATGGTGTAGCGCAAAGAATTCCGGGCTGAAAATGAAGAAATCGCGCTTTCACTCCCGACGCTGTTATTAACAAGCTGTGTAACTTACAGCCTGTCTCCCCTCATCATGCTTCAGTTTAAGCTGAAACGAGGGAGATGACCAAGATGGCTTTGCTCTGCTTCGGATACCAAATGACTGCCAGCAGATTCAGGAAACTTAAGAATCACAACTCCGTGTGTTCTGAAATTAATGCAACAGGTGCTGTGGCCTCCAGGAGGCGTCACCGATTCAGAACGTCTGGGTTTGCGCAGGCCCTTTAGGGACACAAGACAGCACCGCCTATATGAAAACTGAAGTTTCCTTAAACTTTAGTCTGGTGAGTGCATATTTCTCCTTTCCGCATTTATACTTACCTCAGCTCCGTTGGCTACCAAGCTCGTTCTTCAAACGAGGTGGAGAAATGTAAGCGCAATGAACTAGCAATGAGGCCCACGTCGCTAGGGGCCCTGACCCGCCCCCCCGCCAAAAGACAGACACCGCTACAGATACAACCACTCACCTCCACTCCAGTTCTCTGCCGCATCCTCTGAAACCTGATACGGCTGCCTGCCTACCAGGGCGCTGCTGTCACCGGCTCCGCCGGGTGGCCAAGGACCGGCCTTCCTGCAGGCGACGGCCCCTCCAAGGTCCTAGCTTCCTAGTAAATCCATTCTTTTTCCGGCGGAAGAGCCCTTCCCGTTTCCTGGGCGGGACAGGAAGTCCCGCCCTACGCACTAGCGGGATGTAACCGGATGCGCCGGGGCGCTGCGCGCAGGCTCAGAACCTGGTTGATGTTACCTGGGAGAAGGGTTGGCTTCAACTTAGGGAAGCCCAGCACGGGATCCTTGTTGCTGGGTCCGAGGGCGCTAGGGAGTGGAGAGAGAGCAGGGATTCGCTCAGAGGGGTCTGGGAGAACGGCTTGCAGACTCACATCTCCTCTGCCTGCGGATGTCCTCCGGGAAATTGAGGCTTCCTTCCTCAGCTGCCCTTGTGTTTCTTTGCGCCCGCTGCCCCTTGTATTTGGTTTCTTACTGTTTATCTGTGTAGCCCCGTAGCTTACGTTATAATGGTCACCACTTTATTGAACATTCACTGTACAAGCATCTCGCAGGAGGCGCTCATAAGCGTCTGGCAGTTCTTGGCCACTGCTGGAAGCCCAGCCATTCTTTTACCATGGAAGGGATTGAGAACCTACCTAATCCTGTACTCTAGTATCCACATGGTACTCTAGGGGCTAGGAAGATAAAGTAGAAATTGAAATTGCCGGCCGGGCACGGTGGCTCAAGCCTGTAATCCCAGCACTTTGGGAGGCCGAGACGGGTGGATCACGAGGTCAAGAGATCGAGACCATCCTGGTCAACATGGTGAAACCCCGTCTCTACTAAAAATACAAAAAATTAGCTGCGCATGGTGGCGTGTGCCTGTAATCCCAGCTACTCAGGAGGCTGAGGCAGGAGAATTGCCTGAACCCAGGAGGCGGAGGTTGCGGTGAGCCGAGATTGCGCCATTGCACTCCAGCCTGGGTAACAAGAGCGAAACTCCGTCTCAAAAAAGACAAAAAGAAAAAAAAGAAATTGAAATTGCCATTATGTTGGTTTTCTGAAGCTGCCATAACCAAGTACTACACACTGAATAGTTTAAAACAACAGATATATTTTCTCACTTTCTGTAGTCGGGGAGTCAGAAATTAAGATGTCAGTGGGGCCTTGCTTCTTCTGAGACTCTGATAGACTCCTTCTTACCTCTTCGTAGCTTGTGGTGGAAGCCAGCAATAGTTGATGTTATTTGGTTTTAGCTGTATTACTCCATTCTCTTCCCCTGTTACCCAATGGTATACTCCCTGTGTGTCCCTGTCTCTGTGTCTTTTATAAGGACACCAGCCTTGTTAAGTAAAAGGCTTACCTTACTCCAGTATGACCTGATCATGGCTAATTACATCTGCAATGACCCTCTTTCCAAATAAGGTCGCATTTTGAGCTTCCAAGAAGGATTTGAATTTCGGGGGCAATACTGCACTGACCAACCCAGTACAGTTGTCAAAGTTCTTAAGAAGTAGACAAATGAAGAGTTGACAAATAACTGTAGTACAAGTGGATTCAAACTTAGTTCAGTTGTATCTGAGTTTTCATAGACATTCGGGGTATCCCTTTAAAAGATGAGTAGGGACAGGCCACAGTGGCTCATGCCTGTAATCCCAGCACTTTGGGAGGCAGAGGTGGAGCAGATTGCCTGATCTCAGGAATTCAAGACCAGCCTAGCCAACATGGTGAAACACTGTTGAAATACAAAAATTAGCCAGGTATGGTGGTGAGGCAGGTGGATCACCTGAGGTCAGGAGTTTGAGACCAGACTGGCCAACATGGTGAAACTTCATCTCTACTAAAAATACAAAAATTAGTTGGGCGTGGTGGTGGGTGCCTGTAATTCCAGCTACTTGGGAGGCTGAGGCAGGAGTATCACTTGAACCCGGGAGGCAGAGATTACACTGAGCCAAGATCACATCACTGCACTCCAGCCTGGGCATCAGAGTGAGACTCTGTCTAAAAAAAATAAAATAAAAATTTTAAAAAGTTCATTGGTTGCCGGGCGCGGTAGCTCAAGCCTGTAATCCCAGCACTTTGGGAGGCCGAGGCGGGTGGATCACGAGGTCGAGAGATCGAGACCATCCTGGTCAACACGGTGAAACCCCGTCTCTACTAAAAGTGCAAAAAATTAGCTGGGCATGGCGGCGCGTGCCTGTAATCCCAGCTACTCAGGAGGCTGAGGCAGGAGAATTGCCTGAGCCCAGGAGGCGGAGGTTGCGGTGAGCCGAGATCACGCCATTGCACTCCAGCCTGGGTAACAAGGGCGAAACTCCGTCTCAAAAAAAAAAAAAAAAAAAAAGTTCATTCGTTAAATTATTGTCTATTCATACAGTAGTATACTAGGCATTCACTTAAAATGATGCAAGTATGTATTTTGAGCATCAGCAACTAGGTAAGAGAAGTGTATTTTTAAAAGCAATGAGTTATACAAATACAAATTAGATATATATACGTGACTAAGGGGTAGGGGTGTCCAGTTGTAAAAATGGCAAGTCGTAAGAGATAAAATCCTAAGTTCTTTGTTTTTATCTCTATAGACATCTTTGTGTCTTCTCGATTCTTTCATAATTAGCATGTTTTTCATAATTAGAATATACGGAAATCTATTTTTGAAGTAATATAATGACTAGCCTTGTACATAAAATTTTGCATACATCTTGACTTCCTTAGAATTAGTACCCAGGTTTAACTTATTTATTCAAGAGAATAAATTTTTCGAAGCTTTACATGCATATTTTTCAAATGTCCTCTTTAGAAAAAACGCAAATATATATTCACCAGCAGCATTCGACAGTGCCACTTCCCTAGGCCCTCACTGCAACTTTTTAAATCCTTAGCCAGTGTGATCAGTTACCATTTGTGGTTGCTTCTGACAAGGCATATCTCGTGATCAGCACTCAAGAAATTACTCCTTTCAAACTGGCTGTCTATACTCCTCAAAGTTTTGTTTTTAGCTCTTTCTATAATAAACATTTTTCTTTTTTTTTTTTTTTTTTTTTAGACAGAGTTTCGTTCTTGTTACCCAGGCTGGAGTGCAATGGCGCGATCTCGGCTCACCGCAACCTCCGCCTCCTGGGTTCAAGCAATTCTCCTGCCTCAGCCTCCTGAGTAGCTGGGACTACAGGCATGCGCCACCATGCCCAGCTAATTTTTTGTATTTTTAGTAGAGACGGGGTTTCACCATGTTGACCAGGACGGTCTCGATCTCATGACCTCGTGATCCACCCACCTCGGCCTCCCAAAGTGCTGGGATTACAGGCGTGAGCCACCGCGCCCAGCCCTATTATAAACATTTATTGTCTGTTTGGTTTATCTTCTTATAAGCAGTCATCGAAAGAATCAGTTTAATTAATATTTGGAGCACTTCTATACCCAGTCCATAAAAGTGGGACAATTCCTGAACTCAGTTAATCAGGTTTCAAAATGACTATTCCTCTGGTCAAGGCAATATACGGAGGAAATTAGGATTTGGGGATTTACAGTCAGACTGCCTGGGATCAAATGCTAGCTCTGTGACAACTTACTGATTTGCCATCAGGAAACCAGGAAGAGAACCCTCACCAGGAACCACGTCTGCCAGGACCTTGATCTTGAACTTCTCAGTGTCCAGAACTGTGAGAAATAAATGTCTGTCATTTAAGCCCCCCAGTATAGTTAGCCTTAGTATAGTTCATGAACTAGGCCCAATTCCCTCAGCTATATAATAAGGACTAAGTCAACCTATGCGTATGAGAACATGACACAGTGCTGGGACATAACTCTTAAAGGGATACTGCTGAATAGGTACAATGCTATTCAATGAATTGTGAACCCCAAATTCATATGTTGAGGCCCTAACCCCCAATGTGAGGGTATTTGAAGATGAAACCTTGGGAGGTCATTACATTTAGATCAGGCGTCCCCAAACTTTTTACACAGGGGGCCAGTTCATTGTCCCTCAGACCGTTGGAGGGCCGCCACATACTGTGCTTCTCTCACTGACCACCAATGAAAGAGGTGCCCCTTCCTGAAGTGCAGCTGGGGGCCGGATAAATGGCCTCAGGGGGCCGCATGCGGCCTGCGGGCCGTAGTTTGGGGATGCCTGATTTAGATGAGATCATAAAGGTGGTGTTTTCATAATAGTTTTAATACCCTTAAGAGACACCAGAGAGCTTCTCTCTCTCTCTCTCCCTGTCATGAAAGCACGCAGTAAGAAGGTAGCCATCAGCAAACCAGGAAGAGAACCCTTACCAGGAACCACGTCTGCCAGCACTTTGATCTTGAACTTCTCAGTGTCCAGAACAGTGAGAAATAAATGTCTGTCATTTAAACCACCCAGTATATGGTATTTTGTTATAGCAGTCTAAACTAAGACATACAATTTTGTTATTAGCATTCTTCATGGGCCCTGAGAGTCTTATGTGAGAAACAAAAGGGAGGTAATGGTAATAGACCGTGAGAGATGGGTTAGGAATGCAGGTGAAAGTAATAAATACAGAGTGCTCGACATTGATGCTTTTTCTTTATCTATCAGTGTTGATCCGCTCGTGTGTTTCTCTGGCAACTGTTCTCCCTAGCAACAAAAACCTGGTCTGCCTGAATTTGGTGCTAATTTTGCAGAAGATTACGGAGCAAGGTTTCTGTATGAGGCTGAGTCATCCTGACTGTGAAATAGAGGACCTGCACTATGTATTCTGCAGCTTTCCTTCTAAATGGTATTTACTGTGTAGGGATTCACTTCATGGATGAGAAAGCTGGAATCTGTATGTATTTAGTAAAAGTCAAATTCTAAATGATTCATTTTTTCTATTGGAATCCTGAGTGAATTTTTTATCTTCATTATAATCATTATAAGTTTTTCTTATCTTTCCAAGAAGACTTGTTTTGTAGAGTTTTCCTTTTGTGGAAAAATACTCCTTTGTTACTAAATCAGAATTAAAGTGTTATGAAAGGAATTAAAATTTTTCTACCCACACACCATTAAGTTAATACCAACTACTTTAAGATTCATCTGTTCATTTGATATGTGAACAATTTTATTCACTTGTTTATTCATTGAACATTATTATTATTATTATTATTTTTTGAGACAGAGTTTCACTC